GGCTTGAATGGCCGTCGACTGACTGCTGCACAAGTCTGCCTCGTTGTAAACTAATTCATATGAAAGTCGCGGGTACTACGTTCTCTCCGTGGGACACACGGTGGATGTTGTCGTTCGTGGCATCCGTACTGCCTACCCGATGTTTGTGTATTAATTTATGGGGAAATAAAAAGCTATATGCTGATTTGTGCGCCCAAAGCCGCGGTTTTCCAGTCTGCTGCAACCGTTCCGCAATTAGTTCTGAGGTTGGAGAACTCATTGAAGTCCCCATAATCTGATCGTTCATGCCTACAGAAGCACTGTCCCTAATGGACCAGTTAAATTCTTTGTTCTTCGACGGTCCACGGACCAGAACACCTACTCGTTCCAACAGCAGAACTTATAAAAGGCTCTTTTCTAGTCTGGATAGTTTGGCTACCTTTTCATACATACGGCAATAATCTCATTGATTCCCAGTCATCGGTCAGGGTCACTGATTTGATAGAAAAACCTCTTGTTATAACTGCGCAGCCGGTTAAACGTTAAGCATGGCCGAATAAAGCTCGTGTTCCAGCGATCGTGTCTCCCTCTTCGCGACTACTTCCTGGAACTCGCCTCTTCGCATCTATGGGCGGTCTTTTGTGTGCCCGCCAGGTGTTCAGATGAGTGGTTAGAGACTTATCCCATCCTGTTCATGTGTTCAGTTGGTGTGAGATCCTAAAAGGTGGACACGATGATGCTGGTGCGTTAAGGCTGAGGATCGGGTATGTGGCCTCACCCAGTCTCGACTTCTATGAAACAAGTACAACCCTTCTCCTCCACTCATTCCCCGTCACGCCTCCCTCAAGTGTTAACATTAGTGTGAGCGGCCAGCTTAGGGGTAGAGCTGAGGTTATGGCTAGGATTAAGGTTGGGTTAGACCTTAGGTTCAAAGGTTAGAGCTAGGGCTAGGCTTTAGACAGACGTTTAAGTTAAAGGGGTTAGGCTGTCAGCGTGGTCAACTCCAATTATATCTTTAGTCTCGGCCATCACAAGAGTCGGCGGTAACAATATTTTTTTCCATAGTCGAGGGGCGCCTACCGATCGGGTTGCAGGAAACGCTCGTCTCCTTGTGTCTTGGGGATCAATCGCGGGCCTCAGGGGTCGCGAAAACTTGGGGCTGGGTACAGCAAGAAAATTACGACTAATAGACCAGAAATAGTCATAACAGTCTTCACCGTTTTTGTTGGTAGTTGTGCTCTGACAATATGTTCGTCACGCCTCATTCAATGTGATTGGTCAATGCGCGCTGGGATCAGTTCGCCTGAAATACCTAAGCAATGCCCTGGGTTTTCATTTTTTCCGCCTATCCACGGTCACTAGTTGCAAGTATTTCAAGTTGTGCGCTCGCGTTTTACGCTTTTCTGGTGTATTTAAGCAAGCTTGCGGCTTAAATTTACGTTTCTCCCTTTTGCATTCCGAAAACGACTATCTGTCAGTTTCGTTTACTCCCGCGCAGTAAACCCCTACTAGCATAATCCCAATATTACAGAAGAGCTTGCCTCCAGTTTTCTCAGTGGGGCGACATATCCGATTGCTGCTGCACTGAGTATCGTGCGTCACCTGGGACGTAGTTTGGATTGATGAAAATGTGACTTTGGACGCGGGAAGCAGCGAGTGAGGAACGAATTAGTTTGGAGGAACTCATGGCTACCAGCTCGCAGATCACCTCCTCATAATGAGCTCCAGAACCTATCTAAACGACCAAAAATACAAGTTCAAGGAAGAGTTTGGCAGAATACCTGATCGCTGGTACAAGAATCTTGCCCGCCTGGCGTCTAGGACCTGCGCTCTAACCCACCTTCGGATACAACAACATGCTGGAGCCGTAGGCGCCCAAGGGTTGTGATATTTATACAATGCAGTTGCAACACAACTCTGTAATTGTAAACAATAACAGCTCCCGCATGTCTCGCAGATGGTTGTGCTTAACACGATGATGATCTTTTCGCCCACATCAGTATCTATTTGTTGAAATTTCATCTTTGGTGTCCGTCGTTGATAACTGCATCTTACAGATACCGTTATCCGCAAACATCGTCTTCCCTAACTGTTGTCTCGGATGGCTGATTTGAGGGTGAAGTCAAAAAGTCAGGTTTATTTTATTTATTTTCCAGCGATCCACTCTCCTTCCACCCAACCTCAGAAACTGCCAGTTCGTCCTCACGCATGGCAGAACTACAGGTCACACAAACAGAAGCTGCATAAATAATGATCTCATTCTGTGTGAATTCGGTTCTCGCGTCCCTTCTTCAAAGACTGACAAACGGTGCGTGGGAAATTCTAAGACCCCTACGACACAAACCGAAGTTACCCCAGGGTAGAGCACATAAGGCATTCGTTTAAGTTCTGTAAAAGAACGTCCTTTGCATCCTTCGACGAAGTTTGCAAACAGATTAGCATGGATCTATTTGGTTCTCCGATATATTGACAAACAACAGATTTAGTGATATAAATGCTGAAAAGTTGAGCACTTCAGGCATACGGGTGCCGTCGAACGTGTATGAAGACTTTGGTTCAGATTTGAAGCGAAGTTTAGCCCGTACTGAGGGAAGACTGAATGGAATCCCAGATGATCGGTTCTCATCCATGGGAAGTTTGTCCTTCTTACAAATACCAAGGGAAAGGAGGTTCATTAAGTTACTTCCACCTTCCTCGCCGCTTCCTTCGCGAGGCTTTGCCCCACACTAGTATAACGGACCGGTCGGTGATTATTTGAGGACATACGTCCACCCCAAATTGACTTTTTCCGCCGCCGAGGTATTTGGTTGCTGTCTTCTCTCTGAATCAGGTTTAAGATCGCCGAAATTTTTACCTTTGAGGACGCAGAATCATGGAGTAACCCGAGTCAAGACTTCCAATCTCGAAGGAATAAGCCGGTATGACCTACCGATTCTGTACCAAATCAGATATCCAGACAGAAGTTTTTTCCGTGGTGTTTCAGGTACGTTTTTTGAACAGTCCCCATGCTTCTGCTGAGAAAAAATTGATAGTTGAGTCGAGAACGCTCGTCTCCTAGCCGAAGTGTCTGAAAATACCCGAATATATCATCCAACTCGAATACTGTCATGTGGTTAACTGAGAAGACTTATGAAAGTTAAACGTCAATATTTCAAGGGCTATGCGGTTGGGAACGGGGACAAGGAACCCCGTGTTACAAGTGGCCTTGAGCTAAGTTCCAGGGGGTTAAGGTTAGTATTAAGAGGATCAGGGTAAAAGTTAAGACATGAGAAATGGAATTTAGCGCAAGACCACCTGTAGCACGAGGGATCTTTATTCCCGTGTCCAAACGAATACACAAGTCACGTAGGACATGGAAGTAGGAACCCCCCGTAATAAAGGTGGCTTTGTGCTAGATCCCACAGAGATTAGGCTTAGGACACGGGGGCAGGCGCCTTTGACGGAAATTAAAGCAAAGACGCCAGCATTATGGGGTGGGGGGTTCCTACTCCCGTGTCTTCTCGAAATCCGGTTGCAAACGAAAACTACCGCGCACGGCGCGTTCAGCGGAAAAACAATGCTGTCGCCCACGCTAGCATTGAAACACTGTGGCAGAGAAAATCGGAGTTGAGGTTAGATCAACCGGTATTAGTCCTTTGCTTATTAGTCACGTCTGAGTTCGGTCACTGGGGTGCATAACCGTTTCTGTTCCTGCAGAATACAATGACTTTCCCATTATTCTTATGGTCGAATCCGGTGGACAAAAGTTCGAGCCACGCTGGTTGACAGGCCATCTCTTACAAAACCAAGACCCAACTAAGGGGCGTTTCATTTTCTTGGAGGTAAAGTGAGGGTGTCCAACTGGCCACTGACTTTCCTGCGGGGCAAAACTGCCAAACTGAATGTGATTCCGTAGGCTTTTCTGCATATTTTGCCCTTCATTTTTTTGATTTCCGGAAAATTGAAATCACCATGGCCGGCGTGGAGTGCAGATTTTGAGAAAACCCAAAAGTCCGGACAAATTAGTCCATCTTCCCTCGACTACGCAACTATGTGTATACAAGGCAGCTGTGTGTCAGGAATGCGCTACTGATAACTCCAGATTTCCCAGTTCACGGGACGCGGGCTCCCGAGCCATACGGCAACGTCGGCGGATCGCTAGTCCTGCCTATCGTCAATCGCCAAATTATTTCTGACTTGCCATTGCCTACTACCACTCGCTTTCACGGTCATTGGGCAGCCAAACTCCAGAGTTGGTTAGTTGATCCTCAGCTCGTGCTGTGTGAACGGTGGTCGCTGAGGGGGCCGTTGTAGGGGCCTGAAACCCCAACGCGGTGTACAGGATCTCCCGACGTGAGATTTACTTCCAAATTCAGTAAGTGTGCGAAAGATCAGGATTGCGGCCGGTCTTCTACCATCATGAACAACAGCTGGATCGGTGTTCCGCCAGTCAGGCGAGCCATTGTGTTGGGTGGTGGAAACAAACTGATTTTGAGCCTTTAGTGAGAATAAAATAAGATAATTCAACAGGATCGCGCGCGGTCTTCACAATGTACATTATTATTTTTCATGTTACAGGTAAGATTAGACGTGCAAGAAAAACTCAAAGGGGCCAAACGGCGCGAAGTGGAGAGAGATGGAGGGGAGGAGAGAACGAGAGAGCCCAAATCCATGAGAACAAAAAATTATAATAAATACTGTGAGATGCAAGGGAGGAGCACGGGTGGTGGAGGGAAATCGTGCTTCGCGTGGGAGCAGAACATAGGATAGGTGTGCTTGTAACAAGTTACTGGGGAAGCAAGAATGCAGAGCATATTCTGTCAAATAACGGCTCACATACGCACAGGCACAGGGGGTGCATGACACGCTCCTGGCCATTTAACAGCAATTGTGAGGCGACCAACAGACACGAGGGCTGAGGAGAGACACGAGGTATTTGCTCGATAAATTAGACAGAATAGAGGAAGAGGGTCGCCACCAGCAATGTAGGAGCGAAAACTTGGTAGAGTAGGGGGAGGAGGAGGAGGTGCATGGGGCTCTCCTTAGGAGACGAAACCGATAGCGGCAACTGGGTGTTCGTAACCGGCGCAGCTCTCGCCCCCATCCATTTCATCATCCCCATCGCGTTCACCCTCCGAGCTGTTTACCTCCGAGTACGTCATGTTGTCGGCAATGTCAGTTTCACCGACAGAGTGATCATAGGTCATCGAGCCCATTGTAGCTGCTGTCGCGGATGTGGCCCCGCCCTCCTCCGGAATTCGGGAACCCATGGAGGAGGAGGAGTGCAGCGAGTGCTGAGTCTCCGTAGGGTGACAGGAGCTAGGTGACAAGGAGCCGCCACCACCACCACCACCGTCGCCGCCGCTGTTCGTGCTGTGAGACTTGGAGATGGGCGGGAACTGGTCGGACCCGAAGCGGGCGCGCGGACCAACGTTGGCGCCACGACCGCCCCCCACGGACGGGAATCGAGGCGGCCCCGAGTTGGCGGACTCATTACTGGATAATGTCCCACTAAGATTTCTGTAACCGAGAGCCAGGACGATGTCGAAAGAAATAGATTGATTCAGTAAAAGTAGCTCTGGAAAAATACGTCAATTTCTTAGGCTAAGCCGACGTACGGTTGCATAAATATCCTGCAGACAAAAAATCAACATACTGAACAGAAGAGCCAGTATGTGTTCACGTAAAGCAAGACCACAGAAAGGTAGAAAATTCGCAGGAATGAAAACAACAGCGAATAGTTTGACGAGGAATCTTAAAAATCCTTGATCTCATCCGTCTGCAGCCTGTAACTTAATGGTCAAGTAGGCCCAGGTGAGGAACCCTGGGCTGTCAGGCCTGGGTTCGCGGTATAGCTGGTTGACAGGAGTGGTCATTCATGCGTCTCCTACTATGTTGGCAACACTTGCTTATTATTGATTGTCATCGCCAGGGTGGGCTCTAGATCTGTAACTTCAAGGCGAAATGGAAATGCTCGTGTGCCGCCCTACAATCGGATAGGTCGTCAAATGCCATTCCCAAATAACTGAGTATTTACGATCTCAGTCGGCACAGATTGGGGTCGCAGCTCAAGCGGAAGATCGCTTGATTTGAAAAAATTCGATGAGCAACTGGTTCTGGTCCCAATCCCAGGTATCGGGCCTGGAGTTGGTGGGTCGCTGGTCGATAACGTTTAATAGGTCAAAAATGACCATTTCGGTGTCCTTTTTGTTAGCAATATTTATCGAGAAACGTTATTCATTTAAATTACTCTTCACCCCACCAGAATCTATGCAAGGTAAGATAAAACAACGCACTGGCACAACACACTATATGAGATCTAAATGTTAAGTTCAACGGCAAAAACCGGCTGGAAGATAGGACTGGTCCGTTAGTACCAAAGCACAGCGCGAAACAGCACATTGGAGCATTTACTAATCAACGAAGGGCCTGTCAACCGTCTTCAGTTCCCAGGGCTATCGAAAAATGGAAGAACAAGGCCAGAGGTATGACGACGGCTGGCGCCCACCCATGCGACAGTACAGTCCTCAGCTGCCTTCTGCTGAGAAAAAATAACAAGTTCCTGGCGTTTTTATAAAACAAAAACGCTGGCTCTAAATGTCACATCACGCACGCGCAGACATCAACAACTGCCGAGGAAAGAACTGCAAGACAGCCAGAAGTCAGCAGTTAGTAGTTTCATGAGACGGGCTTCCATGGGTGCAGCCCGAACATAGTACTTAAGGGGTGGGTGTGTCACACTTCCCCTTGCAGTGTTACCATAAAGGCCAAAGTAAGGGTTCGTAGCGGTGTAGTGTAGTTACAATTCCATGTTCTCAGGACCCCTCTTCGAGTCTTAGGCGTTTTGTGATGTCCCAAGCGCGTTTTTCTGACCTCACTAACTGTAACAGCCCGTAGAACCATCCCTGTAAAATGAAAATTATTGCAGACGCCTGTCAGTTGTCCTTACGGCATGGCAGTTTCATTAAGTTGGTTTCGTCTCAGCATTGAAAAGATGTTGGGCATGTAATTTGATTGCATGATCCGAGTGTCTGGGGTCCGTTTTTACTTCTAAGCCTCTAGAATACTCTGCGGACAAGTTAGAGCATAGAGGCTGAGCTTTCTCGCTTTGATAGGAGAAATGGTGCAGTTTTCTGTGCCGAAAAGAACAGTGATTAAGCAGTGATCAGTTTGGGGTTGTGGTGGATGACACAACAGATTTAGACCTAAGGCTACAGTTTACAAAACTCTTGGCTGTTCTTGAGGATTCAAGCAGACTTATCATTGATAACTGTGAAACTTCTAGAGATTGTGCATCCCAAGAACTACAGCCTATCCCTATCAACAAGGCAAGGATAATTGACAGCGGTTTAGGGTGCTGTTTACTCCGTGCCTGGCGCTAGCGGTTGGTGCATAGAAGTGGTGGATAGTCCAAAGTATGTGTGTACAGGAGTGGAGAGGGCCAAGCCCCACAGCGTATCTGCTTTTTTCGTGGTGTTTGAGGTGCAGGCATTGACGAAAGGAAGACCATTTGTCTCGTCATCTAAGACTGTTGCATAAGCATACCTTCTTTGAAGGTTTCGCGGTTCCTGTCAGGGAGATATTCAATTTCTATCCCAGGACGTTCATCTGGTTAGTTGCCCACCATCATCACAAATGAAGGTAATCAAGGTTGGGGCGAGTACGCAGTCCCGCTGAACCCCGCTCGTCACAGTGAAGATATTGGAGCTCGAACCACTGGCCACTAAGCGGAGCCGTCTGCCACAGCGCAGCTATTTCATTCTGTAGCGAAGTTTGCAGGACGGAAGAAATCCCTAGTTGTCCTTCAGCGTCTGTTTCTATTCAACGTGCAAAGACCCTGGTGCGATTAATGCATGTTTCGCGGAAACTTGTCCGCATTGATTGGCAATTATTTCAAAGTTGGCGGACGTTAAATTCATGTCGGTGGTTGCACAGTGTTTTTTTGAGCGACAAAGCGTCTTCGAAGGAAGCCCTTGTTCCAAGTGGACTGTCGCGCTGTCGAGACACAACAATTCTCAATAACAGTCGTATAAGTTACTTTTTTGCCCTTTGTAGTGGTTTACAATGCTAACGTCCTTGAGGTCTTGGGCGATTTGCCTTTGTCTCGACAGTTGCTGGGGCAGAGAGACAGTGTTCCGTCGCGAGTGAGCAACGGCGAGTTGCGGGGAATTGTGGGCCATTGATCGCCCTGGTGGGCACTAAGTTCTTTAGTTCACCGCAATCAGCATCTCTATTATTTCACTATTGGTGGTTAGCACAGGTGTTTTGATCTACCACAGTTCCCATCACAGTTTCCATCGACACCCCATCTTTGGTTGTGGCAGTCGTGTTGTTCGTGTAGGACTTATAACACAGGCATTTCCCGGACAGCAGTGCTGAGCTTTTCTGTTGTTATTCCCGAGATGCGGGTCAGAAGCCTTCCGTCGAGATAACTCTCCCATACACACACGCACAAACGTGTGTAGGTGCACAGGTTTTTATTGTAATGAAGGTCCAGGTGTCCACAAGAGGAATCAACCAACCCATTCAGCGGTCTTAGTGGTCGTAAGCGTTCCAATGCTGCGAATTTGTACTATAGCGACCTCAACGTGAATGACATACTGGAAAAGGCTATTCGAAAGGGCGAATATGAAAGAAGTCTCTCATTCTGGCCTGCTGAAAGGACAGATCTGACTGACGAAGGCAGCGGAAGTGGATGAGTCACGGCGAGGCTGCAATTAGCGCCAAGGTAACTACTGAACTCAAAGAGACCAGAACCCATAGATGTCGCACCACATCGCGCCCAGAGAAGGCTCACAGGAATATAAAGGAGGTCAGCAACAGAGAATGAAGGGTGTGGTGGTAGGAAGGACCTTAAGACAGGACACTGGAGTGTACATGCAAGTTGGGCATCGTCTTTCAAACCTGTTTCGCGAAAACGGAGACAGGAAGTCTGACAAGAGTTGCATAACCACGAAATGGACCTTAAATCGAGCGCAGGGGAGAACTGGTCGTTGACATATTTGTTGTGGACAGCAAGTGCGGAACTACGTTAATTTCGTCAAGTGACAAGTAGCCATGTACAGGCAAACATGGAAACGGCTCGTCTTCCAAATCTTAAAAGTCGTGAAGATACGCCCAAATCTGGGGACGGAGACGATGAGTTGCACGGTCTGATACGAATCGACATAAAAGCCTACAGCCCCAACCGAAAGCTATGCGAGGTGAAGAAGCTCAAAAGAATCCAGTGCGACCTACTCGCTGTTCAAAAGTTGCTAAAACTGCGCGCCATCAAGGGAACCTGTGCAAATTCTGAAAAAAATATCCCGAGACTTTTAGCCCTTGTGGGACGGCGTTTTAAGTGTGTATTCCAAGCCTGGATACCTGGAAAATCCAGGATCAGGTGCTTCGAATGAGTGCGGTGGACCGTCAAACCGATCAGAACTTAAGACTCTTTGTCCAATGCATCGCGGTTAGTAAATTTGAGTCTAGTTTCTTCGAGCTATAGAAGAGCGCAGGAAGATCTGATGCAAACATTCTGCACTGCGTGCTGGGTAGATTGCCGACTGGCGACTCCTTTAATTCGCTACCAAAACTAACCTTCAAGCCTCACGCTCTTCAAGTAAAACTATGCATGGAAACATTAATTGCCCACCCCATTAGTAGTGACCTTTAATGACAACCCTGAGAAAATCGTGCTTGAAAATGAACCTTAGCATTGAACATTTGAACTTTTCCGAGCTTCATGCTTGAATCTGCGCCGGCTTTATGCGACTGTCTCCAACCTACCTAATTTTCAGTACATGATCCCATCTTTTGATGTTGAAGACTGGATGGTCAAAGCAACACATGTAGTTTTTCCTAATAAACTGAACAGAAGGGAACAGTCGGGTGAACATGGAGACAAGTCAGTCCGAGAAAATAAGATTAAATGAGTAAGCGAAAAGGTGACCAAACACACAAATAACGCCATGACAAACGCACAAAAATGCCTAAAGGGGCATTCAAGATAGTGACAGAAGCGAAGTTACTTGATTAGTAAATACCGTTTTCTTAGTCAATGTGCATGAATTCGTTTACTAGAAACGAGTACCTAGGCGTGGGAACTATCAGTTTTGATTACTTAGAAGTGCCTTGAAATAAACAGTTACAGATGAGTAGAGCGAAAACAAACAGAAGGGGGGGATGACGGATGGTCACTCATTCGCCCTACACTTCGATTCAAGGAGCGCGGCGTCTGCCAGGCCGGCCGTGTTTACATGCACAGACATGCATCGCTCATGGTGAACCCGTTTGTTGATCAAGGCTGGCGTGTGGGTGCGATTAGAGGGGGGGGGGACTGCGCACCGTAGCCCCTGTTCTCGGGTCACACTAACATCCCATAGCAGGACAGACGCTGGATGACAGGAAAGCAGATCGGATGCAGCGGTTTACCGGAAAAGTCTCCGTTTCCTGTCTCGGGTTACGTGTACCACGGTGTGCGTTGCTGATCCGACGATCCTAACTTCGAACGTTCGGACGCGGTTGGAACCTGACAGCCACCTCTATGCGACTTATCCCAGTGATCGAAGCAGCTGTCGAGGTGAGGTGTTTGTATATTCAATGCCCTGAAAAACCATTGATGGCAGCTGAATGTTCCAGAAGGTCAAAGGAAAATGCTGGACCGCGTGCAAATGCTCATGTGGATAGGCCAGTGAGCATTCAACACGCCACAAAAACATGGTATTTCACCTGTCGTGCAAGTTGGCGGTCATCGCTACATGAATGACAGTGGTGGCCCGCACATGAAAAGGATTACAGTGAGAAATTCTTGCACAGCATCGCTCTACCCCCTCTCTCTCCATACCCATCATGTTTCAGTGGAAAGACTCGAGCAATACGATCAAAGAGGATACCAGATACACCGATTGAGTAGACACTCCGGCCCAGTCTTACACAAATTGCACGCGTGCGGATTCATATACCGAAACGGACCAGGCAACGCGGACAGCCCACCTGACACAGTGTGCATCCAATTCTAGGTCGCATGCTACAGATCCCAATCAATTTCTCGGCTCAACCGCGCACGCAAAGATTTGCGTGCGGAAAAGAGAAAAAACGAAATGATTATCATTATTGCCAGCTGGCCTATGGAATGAACTCCCTTACCCAGTAAAGTGTCCACGGTGGTTACCGCTCCGCAGGTGGCTGCTCCCGTCGCCACCGCTTCCGCTGCCGCTGCCGAGACTGCTACCGGCGTTTCGATAGCCTTGAGCGGAGTGCAGATAGGCTAGTTGCTGCGTCGTCTGTTGGAGTCCGCCACCGGTCTTTGTGGAGCCCAGCGGAGTACCACTGTGTTGAGGGCCCGAGCTTCCTGAGAGGGATGACATGCCAGAACCACTGCCCATCACTAGGCCATTGCCCGTCGCAACCGGTGTCTGTGCAGCGGCACACTGCTGCAAGGATCCGTTCGTCAGCGCTGGCTGTATGACAACACCCTCAGGGGCGTAGTATCCGGTAAAGTAACCTACAGATAAAGGAAACCGAATGAATAGTGAATCATTTAAATAGAAGGTGGAGGGTATTATAAGTCCCCGTCGGGACACCGGTGTGTGTGGTGTGAATTCTACGATTATTTCCATCCCGAACTTGTCAATTACGGCTATGCGGACTCGGAAAAAACAAACCTGCCGTAGACATGGATTAATAATTCAAACAAGTAACAGAGAATCGCTGTCTCGGGGGCATGAAAAGTCATCAGTGCGTTTCGCCAATTTCTCAATCAGTAAGACTTCCTTCATCACACAGGCACGAACGGGCACCAGAGAGGGGTCAAAGATTGGGAGCAAGGGTTTGAAGTCTAGAATGGACAAATGAACGCTGAGTGGCGGGTAGAGTGTGGCACGCTGATTATCGGTGGCGGGTCAGGACAGGGTGGTATTGACAAATCTAGTCTGACTGCAGGACTGAATATAAGCTCTCATTGTGGACTTGGAACTCCAATCCAAAACCCTCGGGGAAGGGAGGTGGATGCGCGCAGTATGAGCAATCAATAAGAACTACTAAGCATAGATTGGAGTACGGCCGGCTGGCGCCGGAAAACAACCCGAAAATGGTCAATTAGACCTGTCTTTTGAGCCATGGTGGCCCAATTATGGATTTAAAACAAGTCTCCTGACGGCTTATCAACTGCTATCGTTTAATAACACGAGCAGCAAGTAACCAGCACACAGCAGGTTAACATTTTTCAGAAAATCTCTGTGGAGGCAACAAGGCAATAGGTCGGAACACAGCCTAATCCACGGAAAATAAGGCCGCTCGAAAGGGCTGTAAGAAGGACAGTAAAGTGCAGAAGGGAATTCTGCGGTTGTTTTGGACAGGACAACCTTCAGAAGGTCAAACGTTTACCGGAGAACCGGCAGTCCTATGTCCCTTGCACAATCAACCCCGTAAAAATACTGACACGAGAAACCAATGCAACGCTCTTGGCATTGGAAAACCCGGATGCAATATCACCGGTTGACCGACGCGTGGCGAGAGCCGGGAACACGGCCTTGGCCCGCTTCTATGGTCTTCCCACAGTGCACAAAGAGGGTGTCCCCTCCGGCCTATAGGCTCAGTCAGAGGTACTCCAACTTACAGACTGGCAAAATGGCTGTTTCGGCGTCTCAAATTTCTGATCGTAAATCCACATACTACAGTCAGTTCGTCAACACAATTCTTGTAGAAACTAAAAGGGGTAAGCCTCCTGCCAAGCGCCGTCATGGTATCCTATGGTGTCACCTACCCTTTTTACTTCTATGTCGCAGGACCTGGCAGTCGAGACCATCCAACTACTCCTACGAGACAAATACGACGAAACAAAGAACCGCCGTGGACACGCCCAAATCCTCCAACTCCAGCAGCTCTGTCTCAGGACGTACTTTACGTTCGACGGAACAATCTACGAGCCGGTAAGGGGCATGCTAACGTGTTCGCCAATTTCAGGACTCATAGGCGAGGCAGTCGTTCAACGGTTGGAGTTGCTGGTTTTCTGACACCACTCCCCGCTCCATATTTGGCGCTGAGACTTTGCCTAGGCAGAGTAGTTAGCCACGAGGAGAGCGTGAGGATGATCACTGTTCCTGGTGTCAATTTCGGTGGGCCAAATTGCCCAAGAGTCCACACGGATGACGAGATGCGACAGTCAGCAACTCGTCTGCGTGCGATCAGCATGGGAACCGACACATAAGGACATAGCAACGGCATGGCAACTTGGCCAGTCGAGTCGTGATGTACTGGGGAGCTGCCAAGTCTGATAGGCATGTAGCAGTCTAGCAACTAAATCCTATAAATACTGCAACACCTGGGCAATTTACTACCCTTATCTAACTGTCTCTGATGATGGATTCGAGTGAATCCGAAATATCAGGCTAATAAAGCTCTTGTTTCAGCGTTCGTGCCGCCTGCTTCGCAGATACAATGTCATTTGAATGGACACCTCACGATCTTGGAAAATTTCCCAATTTTTTAAGACCGAAAGATACCCTTTTTCACTTACCAAATTCGAGGAAGGTGTGATTTCCTGCTAAATGAGTACGAGAAAGGGTATTTTCGGGCATATCTAATGCAAAATATATTGTAATTTATAAATCGATGGGAGGAGTTAATACCAGTTAAGTAGTCCTTTTTTACCGAGCGCGGTTTTTGTAGGCGCCAAAAAAGAGTGCATTCAGAAGTCGGCACCCTGGCGCGACTGAAATATCTTGGGATTATATTGCGCGATAGTTAATAATACAACCCAACTAAAGTAATCCTTCCTAAATGAAAACAGACTTCAGAATTTCGATTACCACTTCACGAGACCGGTCACTGCTGTGCCCTGAACGATGACTTTGTTATTTACAAAAGGAAACAAATTGAACATGCCGTGTATTCGTTGCTCGGTATCCGTATTACGAAGCAGCAGCCGATGAACACGCGCGAAATCCCTTTGTAGCAACAAAGTATTCGCCTCTTGTCTGTCAGTAATACTTGTCGACGGCCCCATTCTCTCCTGTCAGTTTTACCGCTTGCATAAAAATGACGCAAATTTATTTCCGATAGCCGCACTTAAAAATATGCATTAGAAGTTGACAACCGGCAAATGCAGATGGGGCGAAAGTTGCCTTCTGAAAATGAAGATCTAGTGTGGAATTCCCAGACGACAACGTACTTAATTCTGCTGCGCAGTGGTCATTACTTCACAGGGACTTACACCACGCCCAGAAGCTCGTAAAACGCGGAGACATTTTCAAATGTGCTGCAAGTCGAGCTGGAGAAATTTATCAGATTTAAATAATATTTGAAGTTGATTTCTACACTCTAGGATAAAGGCTACTGATTCACCATCTTTCCAACAACTAATTAAGTAATTTTTCGTTTGATTTCGCGGATTGTGTGAATTCAACAATATGCTTAGAACGGGATGTAGAGAAATGTCATTTCTTTTGTGTAGCTTGTAGAGAGCTGTGTTTTTTTTTCAACTTAGTCCCCGAAGGAAACGCAGACTACAGTTTTACAAGTTTGTAATTATAGAATATTTGGGATGCTTGAAGGACTATACCTCTGGGTTAATATTACTGGCCTTTTAGTGCTGCGAGCTTACCATCTGGGTGGAGGGGGGGGGGAGGAGGAAGGAGCCGTCGAGGCCCGGTTTCATGGTAGGATCTGACTACGACCAAAGTGGGTGTGTGTGTGTGTGTGTGTGTGTGTTTGCACAACGACGCGATCTCTACAGCGGTGCCACAAAAAAGACAGTGTCATGAAGCAAAACAAACCAAACAAGACAGAACCGTGGGAACTGAGACAATCGCACACACATACGATTGTTCAACCGTCGCGAGCGACGGGCATCACCGCTGTTCCACAAACTGGGCACGCCGTGACTTGCGCATAGACGCACTCAGACGACGCATGAGCACAAAAACACACGTTCTGCCCTAGAGTTGTCCAATTCCGCTAGAATGTGGTGCTAAGTGTGAATCAGCAGCCGACAAAGTAAGAAAGCTTAACGCTGCCTTGCGACTCTTGCAAATGAGAAGAGAACGCCTTGAAGAAAGGAAGGGGGGGGACATCGTGAACAAAAGGTGTGGTAGTGGGTCGAAGACGAAGTCTAGAGAAGGCTACAAACGATTGGCTAACCAGCTTACCTCACCCCTCCCCCCACGGGCCCGAACATTGTGGTAAAATGAAGCAGCAGTCAAAGATACGCGCGCCAAAGCCTGTTACCACAACTCGGCATCTTCAAACACTGCATCCACGCACAAGGGACCTCAAAAAAGACTTACTGAGTGAGCGTTTGTGTGTAATTAGAGGACTAGGCCCAGCAAGGCACCAATTCGATGTGGTGGTCGGCGGAAGAGAGCCTGAGTAGGCTTTAAAAGACCTCTGGACCTTTTAATGTCGCCAAAACTATTTTCGTCAGGGCCAAACGCCACTGGGGTGTATTTATTAATAATTAATGTCCGTGTTCATGAATTGCAAATTAAATACGAATTGCTTGACCGACAGCAACGCATACAGCAAACACTGGTTCACGAAAAGTGGATTTAAATACCAGCACCCAGCATGGCCAAAAATGGCAACCTACTTTCGCAACCGAAAAAGACAGATAGATGTAGTATGTGCAGGCAGGCATGCCGATTGATGCGGTCAATTCGAATGGAGAAATTACTTGCGCCGCGACGCAATAAAATCAAGTCATGTGGAGTACATGCCAACATCTAGCGTCATAGCCAAATGCAGGAAGAATTCCATCGCGTTGTGTCCGCTAGGCTTCAACTGTTGGTGAAAAAATGTGCCCCATAGTCAAGGTGCGCACTTTATTCTCGCTTATTTTCCAGTGCGTAAGGCCTAATTCACAATATGCCTTTTCGGCCACAGAAAACAATAAATATGCAATAAGTATCTACCATTAAATTCTACAAGAGGAAACCCATAAAAGACATTGAGTTGTGGTCTAAAATTGGAAGAAATAACTGTTCAGTAAATGGTCAACACCTCACCGCCCCTCCACGTGCAGTGATCATAGCCGCAACCCTTCATGGCACGTGTTCAACGAGTTGGAGTCCAGTCCTGTGCCAGAAACTCAATGTGGTCAGCAGGCTTTAGTAACCATAGCATTTTTACCAAGACAAACTGTGAGAATAAGGAAACTTGGGTCGTCAGAAGACAGTTTGGTGCGGCCTACCGACCACACACCCTCCATCCCTCCGTCCCCAAGATCTCGTTCAGAACGATGGAACCATCTATTAACTTGCATAGCTGCAGCGTCCCTGAAGTAGGTTACCCAACGCGGATTCGGACAGGTCAGTGATTCGATTGTCACTCAGACAATTCCCCGGTTCCCATGGCCAATCCTAACAAAAAACATTTTAGTTAGTCCAATAAGTTTGGCATCCACTTCTAGCACGGGTTTTTTTTCACTGCGGTGAGAGAAAACAAAGTAGGAAGTAATTGGAATTTGCGAGCCGTACGGATGAGTCAGTTTCGAACATTTTTAATGGGATGAAGAACCTGGAAGTGGTAGAAACAAAGAGGCGATTCGACGCCAGCTTATGTTGTCCTAACTGCTTGGAGACAGTACAAACTCTGAGGGGTACAGAACTTAATATCGTCATTTGAGGGCTACAACCCCTGCTTCAGTATTTTCCTGTAGTATGGGACGTTATCATCCAGATTGTCAGAGCACAGGTCCTAGCCTTAACTCGGTTGGAAGCGCCTATATAGCCCCCAAATAGGATACGGGAATAGGAATATCCCACCCACGTAATACGGACTGCCTTGCGCTAAGTTCCAGTAAAAGGTAAATATTCCCATGACCTAGCCCTAGCCCAAACCCTAACCGTTGCCCTAACCTTATTCCTAACTTCAACCCAAATCCTAAACTTAGCCCTGCTCCTAATTTCCGCAGAATTTGGCACAAAGCCGCCTGTATTAGGGGCAGTTCCTGTTCCATGTGTTGCCACGGTGGAGGGAAGGGGGAATATACACAATCCCTACCCTAAACTCTAACCCGAATCACCCTGGAAATCGGTGCAGGGCTACCGGAATAGGGCGGAGAGGTATCCTATTCCAACGTTGGGTCGACCTCTTTCTCTTCTCTTCTCTCTCTCTCTCACTCTCTCCTCTCGTCTCCTCTCTCTCTCTCTCACTTCCATGTCACAGTAGCTAACTGAGGACACACAAGAAGTAACCCCGTACCCAAGACCTGAGAATATGTCGAGTATGGTGTCTTATAACTCAGTCTGACTAATGAAATGGTGGGAATTGCGTGCAATCAGGAATGCTAACTCCCTCAACTCCATGCGGAGAAAGCAGGCACTGACAATCTGAAGAGGTTAGTGCTAACCTCATCCCTCATAGTCTTGTCAGTCTGCCCGGCCACAAGAAGTACGCAAAAACTGTGAACATCCCACAGTAAAGCACTCGGGTCATAAAAGGAAAACGTCATTGATACCGAAGCAGAATAACACCGTAGACGTTTGACTGTCAGAAAATAAGTGCGCGCCGAAGGATAAATTAATCTCTCGGGGGAGCCTCGGTAGCAACAGCAAACAAAACATCTTCCGTAAGGTGGTAGGTTTCTGCAACGCAATGGCTACCCCTGTCAACTACGTATAGAAATAAATACGAGCAGGGATACTTCGAATATGCACGCACGCAGCAGCCAGCGCGTGGAGCAAAAAAATTGTGGTCGGTCCAGCGTGGACGGGTTGGCTTTCGAAGCAATTAAGTCGGCAGCAGCAACACTATCGGCGAGGAGGGCCGGACTTATTTGTGTTATGGCCTCCGATTTAGACGCGCAACCACTCAAAGGGGACTAGAGTTAAATCATCAGGGTTCGGCGTGTGGTATGTCTCTCAACCGCCCTTGGCAAGGAGAGGAAAAGAGACAGGAGGGCATGAAATTAGGGCACGGTATACGGACGCACGCGGGCCGACGGAGTCCGAGAGTGGTCGTTAGGATGGCGCAAAGCGCAGAGCAGACTGGCTAAAAGGGCCACCAACGGGTCGTGCTTTTGGGCAAAATTGACTGCTGATAACATCTGTCACATGCGTCGATGTTGCGGGAGTTCGTGTGGCAAAATGTGGTAGTGGTTGTGAGGGCGTAAGCGCGCAGAATCAGAATGATAAGTAGAGGTTGGGGAGGGAGCAGGCTGTGTTAAGAGTGGCAACGGGGTGGCTGAACAAGTCGTTAGGGAACTCTGAGCGTGTGCGCGGGTGTCACAAGGCCTAGTAGGCGAGGAGCTCAGTTGACGTGATCCAGATCAGAGTAGCCAATTGAAACACTATTTCATCTCCATTGCGATAGGCCTACAGGCCGAGACACTGCACAGTAAAGATAATGCGTGTGGAATAGCGCAGGACGCAAATATACTTGGAGATAAAGGTCATGGAGATGTCAAAGAAATGTGACATCTCATACAACTGAAATAGGCGATGGGCGGTAAGATAAAGATTAAACCTGGTTAAACTGTCTGAACCTACGGCAGCAAAAAAGCTGCCCACTTCCCGGACGCAAAGGCACTAAAAACCCCGTGTGGTGGCGGAGAAGTAAAAAGCTGTGGAAGGAAACTCGGCGTTGAATAAAACTACAGCATAATTATGAAGAACATACTAAGAATTATGGGCAAAAACATAGGGAAAAGTAACATTAGTATAATAATGCAAGTTGGAATAAAACGTAGTCGGGTGTGCAACCAGCAAACAACAACTACGATGGAGTTCCCGGTTGAACCAGTTGGCGCATGCATACGGGCACAATCTGTTATCCTCAGCCTGAACTGTAACGATTAATCCTCAGTATGGTTAAACTTCAGGAGACGGTTCCCTATTGACTGAACTATTCTGTACACCTGTGAGATTTGAGATGAGGGCAAGATTGGAAAGGTGAGAGGGGGTCCTCCGTTCGGCAGCGAACCCATCTGCGTTTGTCTTGTCTTCGTTTCACCTTCCTGGATTGGAGACGACGAAGGAAGAGAGAAAGTTGAATTATCGCACAGATTATGGTCTCAATTTCAGCACCATCTGACGGCAATTTGATTGGACTGAAGTCGCATCGCCTCGTGGGCCTGCAGCGTCAACCAGCCCCCCGAACCTGCCGCCCAGTCCAAGCAGGCCATTTGGCGCGACGATGCAGCACATGTCCTTCAATTAGGGAAGCCAGATACACGTTGGCGGGAGGCACAATGACTGTGTGCGTGTGTGTGAAATCACGGGGGTGGGAGCGAATCGGGGGTTCGCATCACGGCAAAAACACCGCAGGGTCGTCTGTGTACAGACTTGACACTACCGATGATAGGTGAGGCATAGACACGCGTGTACGCGAGCACACGCTGGGCGGAGCGTGGCCTGGCAACAGGAGGAGACCTCGTCGGGGTGGAGGTAACCAAGACTTAGCATTTGTAACACTCACAAAGACGTCAGGGCGGCGTCGGCGGTCACACGGACAGACAAGAGGTGGTGCCAGGAGTCCTGAATGTGACACCGTCGCCTCCATCTCCGGCGCGCGCGCGCACACACACATCTGACTGGACTGGGAGGTTCACATAAAATTACGACTGACCAGCGGCCCCCTCAACCCCGAGCCTCTGGAACATCTGTTAGCTAAGGCTGAAACGGCGGTCACCAAGGCGAATTCCGCACTGATGGCTGGACCGTCATGGAGGTGCGGCGACCACGATTAGCTCTCAAGCGGGTGGAGGGGGTGGCGGTTGCACGCTGTCATCATTCTCACGGTCGTACACAAACTCCTGTACCTCGAAGGAGCATAGCGTTATGGCTAACTGATCCTGGTTTAGGTGAGTGAGCGGACGGAGCCAGAACCAGGATCTCCTACTAGCAGAAGATAAGAGAGTCTAGATTTGTCCCCCGACCTTCCCATCCTTGCCATAGGACTGAAATACTGGCAGGATCCAGGAGGTCCGCTAGAACCGGAACACAACGATTATCTCTGATGATGGATGTTCCAGCAACCGCATCTTCTAATGAAGAAGTATGAGTCAAACCAGAATCAGACCTTTCCACAGGTTAAACATATATTTTGGAATCTTGGCCAGAGGGTGAGAACTCAGGTATACTTTTGTCCTGATCAGACGAAGTGCATACGACTTGAATGAGTGAAACTGCGGCGACTTGGATGTCCTTCCGCTGGAGGTTGGTCAGTGAACGTTAGGACCTACGCCACAGTCTATACAGAATTAAGTCCGTGGACGCGGAGGAATTACTCATACGCGGGGAGTCTGGCTTAGCATTTCCTGAAGGCCCATGATGAGGAGTAGGAGTACTGAGTCCTTATAACGATTTATCCACATGGGCGACGAAATTTAGATCAGAACCCACTCCAACATGACAGGTCCAGCAATTATCGCGCAGATTTGGAAAATCTGAATAAGAAATTAAATCCGGTCTCTGAAACAAGACGCTCACTCGGATGAGGGAGCTATATCGGCGTGTTGAGACGCACTGCAGTGAACCAGAAAACTGGGTTTTTTAATTGTAATACCTTCGACGGGTTCTCAGAACGAATGGCTACCTATATAACTTTGTCAACCGGTAGGAGAAAAAGTCCCATATCTACTTCTGTAGTTTACTACAATTAAATCACCTTTTCACATGTACAAGAAACAAAAAGTGGCTTGATGACAGACTGGAGTCGCATAGGCAGGTAGATAAACAATACGTACAGCTATGAGAAAGTGGGATGTACAGGAAGTTGGACAGGAAACGCTTTTGTATTCAACAGACAGCAAACCATGCACAACAAACTTCGGCACTTTAACTCGCTCATGTGGCTAAGACGTTAAGACCAGAGTGTAGCGGGTCCTATCGATCAGGGTTATCTTAAAATGGAAAGCCACAACTCGGCTGGACATGGAAATATGGACCTCCTGCACCAAAGGTAACCTTGCGCTAAATTCAAGGGTGATTGGAGTTAGGGTTAGCATTACGGTTATGAGGGTTAGGCCTGTGGCACGCCCAGACGGATTTGTCGCAGCTGTCAGCCACGACGCCCAATCTCAGCATCGGTTGAGCAGACGGCTTGGAAAGTGGACTGACGCCTGGAAGAGGAAGAGAGAAAGGCCGACTGTCAGCGCACAGTACGTTTTTAAACTACCACTGTGCGCCAGAGGCCGCGGGCTGCAATGGTCCCTTCTGAATGTGTCGTCCATGGCATTCCCACTCAGTCGACATCCGAGCTGCCCCCCTTTCTAGATGTGTAAAAAAACTGGCCCCTTGTACACGGATCGTGAGTGTGTGTGTGACACGCTAAGACGAGTTGTTTAGTTCTGCCGGTCATTGCGCGCGATCCGTTTTGACACTGGGTCCAGGTGGGAGAGGGAGAGAGTTCAGTAGATGCTGTGCAAGTCTACTACTACTATAAACTGATTCCTGAGCAAGTCGTCGTCCCTGCGCCCACCCTGCTGTGAGGCACACGGTGGACATAGTCGGAATCGACGGTCAAACTGTCGCTAGGAGGACACGAAAAAAGGCAAACCTATGGAATTTAGCGAGAAGCCACCTGTAGTACGGAGAGTCCATATTCCCATGCCCGAGCCGCAGCTTTTTCCATTTTCAATGCCAATCTGTCTGACGGATGTCCTGGCTATTGAATTTTTGACTCAACCTACGCGTTGCAGAGTGCCCTTGTCGCATTCCCAAGAGTGTCCAACTGATCGTCAATCAAGTCACCGAAGTTGGCTGTCCGCCCTCGAATGATTTACACGATGGTCAAGATATTTGAGGAAATCATTTGGCTGTGAACATGCAGTGACGTGTCCTGGGAGTTTTGTCCTGGCATGCTTTTGAGGGACGCGATTTAGGGACTTTCCAGTGTGTCTAAGACGGACAATAAGCAATCCAGTTACGGGCCTTGTGGGCTCCATCAGTTATCCTTGACCAGCTGATCACTTTTAACTTCCATAGACCTGCTGGGATTGACGATTTAAAAACCCAGAGGTCCCACAAACAACCCACGCAATGGCATGCACGTGAACACATGGCTAGGGTGCCGAATGCCAGCGCTCGGTGGTGGAGTGGGAAAAAATCAACAGATGTTGAAACGCTGGAAGGTTTAGGGGAAGAAAACATCATGCATCACATAAATATACATATGCAAACCTGTATTTCGAAAGACACAATAAGACCTCAGTAGATCTTAAGTGCCGCAAGACGAAGAAAGGCGAGTACATTTGTTCGCACCGCGTATGAGAGTCAATTCGCCTGCTTATGCACACGCGCCCATGGGTATCGCAGTCATGTGAAGAATGCAGCCTCTGCCCGAGAAGGTTAATTACGAACAGTACGCGGAGTTCCCAGGTTATTTTTTTTATTATAACGGAGTTCAATGGCAAGAGGTACAGAAGAGCAATAATTAGGTTGTATGAAATGGGAACGCAACAGATGGGGAGGGAATCTACCGAAGAGGATGCGTAATCAACCAAATCAGGAGAAAGGAAGAACGCGAAGAAGCAATTTAGGCTTTTTCAATTAGCGCGAATGGCACAACTGGATATAGTGTACCCGACTGTATGTTCTTCTTATGCGCCTGTATAGCACGAGTGTTGGGTGCAATACACAAATGCACTATCTAGCGCTAAAAGCCTAATTCCCGCCCGTTCCCCCCTAAACAAGTAGAGCAGGCAGTTTTCACATTTTTGAATGTCAACCAAAAAATGCAGGAGGATGCCAGTCAACACGACGACAATAGGAAGAGAGAACATAATAGGACGAATCGTGCTAGGAAGGAGCGGGGGTCAGGGAATGGGCCAAGATGGTAAGAAGAATAAAAGGATGATGAGGACGAAGCAGACGGCACAGAGGGAAGACGCAGCACCTACTGACGCAAAGAAGACTAATTCAGCGCCTGCAGGCCTCAAATGCGGGCGGGTCAGTCTGTCGGCGATGGCGCACTAACGGGGAAGGGGGGAGTGGGGTGGCTAGAGGCCAGACGCACATCCGCTGACACCACACTTTATGACCAGCCCTCCCTCCCCTCCCCACACCGTAATAAAAGGAAAGGCAATCAACAGACTGCCCCTCACCCTTATGCTGACGGCTCTCCCGACCATGTGTGGGTGCGAAAAAGCGACGGAGTAACAAAAGAGCGGGAGGACTAGAGTGTTCGACTTGGGCAACCATCACCAGTTGACTTCGCTGGTTTCTCCTCGTATATTTTTGTCTTCTTCGTTTTTCTGCCTGCCTTTTTCTTTCTTCTCATTCTTCTCGCCCGAGGCGCGTCAAAAATGCGTATCCCGCCGACGACAAATACCGGGCTAAGACGGTAGAATTTTCCTTGCACGACAGGCTGCATGTATCGATGTATGTTTACATGGCGTGTAAAGGTCAGAGGTCACATAATTTGCCCCGTGCAGGTGGTGGGTGCTCCACGCGGTCCTTAACTGGAACCCAACTCTCAACAGTGGCTCCCAGAACTTAGGCTCTGCCTAGCGACCACACCCCTTAACCGCCTCGAAAGGGGGGCTAAAACAGAAGAGAGTATCCGGTTTCACGTGTCTCCACATGCGGTAATACTGCCCCCTCCCCACTCCCCAATTGCAAAAAGTTATACAGAGAGGACGACATGCAATTCCGTGGGCGGCCCAGGCTAACTCGGGTTGCTCTCCCATTAAAACATGTCATGACCCATAGTGGAGTTCAGCAGCCGTCTGGGACGTCTTAGTAGCCCTATTTAGGGACAGCACTACTTACCCCGTCGCGGGGAAGGGGCCAGAAAAAGTGTCCTAAACAATTGCTGGGGGGATCAAGCCATCTTCAAGCAGGCAGTGGCCCGCAGGTGTACCACTCACGGTCGAAATAATCAAACAAACAACAATCTACGTCCGAATTCCTCTCGCCTCACCCCACAAGCTGCTGGAGGGAGTCCAATCACTCGGGCAGTCTGGAATGCCCACTCTTCTAGACAATCCGCGGAGCAACCGGCCGGAACAGAGGACAGCGTTAGTTGCTCGAGAACTGGCGCGCCATAAGGTCGACAGTATTGCCTCTAGTGAGCCCCGTTTCGCGGAACGATGTCAGCTAGAGGAGGTGGGAGACGGCCACATCTTCCGCTGGAGCGGCAGCTCATAGGCAGAGCGACATGACGCTAGGCATCGCCTTTGCCATCCGGAACAACAGCGTGGAACGACTGCCCTGTATGCCTCTGGGCATTAACGACCTTAGAAGAAGAAAATTGGCTCTCCGGAACAGGTTTATTTAACTGACCGTCTCTTCAGGGAGCCAAATTCGCCACCGTTGTCAGTGTCTAAGTTCGCCCAATGACCAACACTAACGAGGTGAGGAAAAAGTTCTATGAAGACCTGAAAGCACTACCGGTGGCTGATTGGACTTGATGATCTCAGTATCCGCATCGGGATAAACCACGGTGACTGGCAGGGGGTGCTGGGTCCCCATGGACTTGACGACTGTAACAACAACGGCCTCCTCCACATGCAAACCGGTGCAGAACACCGACTTCTTCTCACTAATACTTTCCTCCGCCTTCGATGCAGGGATGGCAACCTGGATGCACCCTCGGTCGCGGCGATTGTAGTTATTGAACTACGTTCTCGTTGGGAAGCCAGATCGACAGGACGTGCTGATGACCAAGCGGATGTGCGACGCCGACGGTTGGACAAATCACCGCCTCGTCATCTATAGGACGATGCTTCGACTGCGGCCTCACAGGAGGCCACAAGGTAAGCAACCCCCACGTAAGTTAAATCTATTCTACTGAATTTGTTTGCTGGCTGCTTCAATTTCAGCGATCAGGTTATCAGCGACTAGAATAGCTGCCGACTCCAGACGATAACGCCATCGTGGAGACACGGTGGTGTCAAGTGCCGAACACAACCCACTCCACGTCTCTAGGCGTCTTTGATCGCGCGTCGTTAAAATAGGAGCCGCAGACATTGACAATTCGCTGTTTGGGAAGAACAGGCTATACAAAGCCTCCATTGACCGTCGTACCGACGCAAGCGGCCTTCTTTGGATGTCGCTACCTTGTGCAGCAACGGCTGCAGGAGATGCAGGACGCCTGGATGAATCGCAAGGCCGAGGAGATCCAAGGGTAAGCGAACCATGCCGCTTCGCGGCTCCGACGAAACAACACTCCTAACGAAGAAGTTCCAGATTATAAAGCGACGAACTGAGCACTTCAGAACCATCCTTGACCACCCATCCAGGATCTTCCGCCATCAACCGGCTCCTCCAGATGGAAAAGAATGATGAGCTGGAACTTCCGTCCTCTCTCCTAGAAACAATGAGAGTGATACACCAACTATCCTGCGGGAAGGTACGGGGATCTGATGCGATCCCGATCGAAGCATAAATGCATGGTGGCCCCCGGCTGGCGAACAAACTTACAACGATATTCCAGGAGATGTTGCGTCAAGGAAGAGTTCTCAAGGATTACGCGGAAGCGACCATCACCCATCTCTACAAATCAAGAAAGAGCCGGCAACTCTGTGATAATCACAGCAGAATCTCGCTGCTTAAAATCGCCGTGAAGATATTTTCTGGCATACTTCTCAATCTTCTCAACGGCCATTTGGAACACGGACTTCTCCTAAAAATTCAGTGTGGATTCTGGCGACACCGCGGAATAATCGACATGATCGCCGCGGCCCGACAACTGTAATAAGTGGCAGGAAATGCATACCAACCCCTACACTAAGTTCGTGGACTCGACAGAAGCCTTTGACATGGTGAATCGTGATGGAATCTGGAAAATCACGCAGAAATTCAGCTATCCTGAACGATCCACGCGCATGGTGTGTCAGTTTCATGACGGGATGATGGCGCCCGTCACGGACAAGGGCACAGTCTCAGAAGCATTCGCAGTGATCAATGGAGTGAAGCAGAGTTGCGTACTCACTCCCACCCTCTTCAGTATCAGGTTTTCCTCCATGCTGATGGACGCCTACTGTGATGAGCACCCTGGGCTCAGCATCGTCCACAGGACCGACGACCATCTTCTCAGTACTCGACGCATGCAAAGCTCAACGCATCTCTCCACGACTTTTCCTTCGCGGATTATTGCGCGGTCAATACCGCGACTGAACCAGATATGGAACGGAGCATGAATCCCTTTGAGTCCGGCTGTGCAAACCTCGGGCTGATCATCGACACGGACGAGACTTTGGTCATGCACCTCCAACAAATCCTCCAACACTGAATGCAACGACCCTCGCATCGTAGTAGACGGCACTCAGATCAAACAGCAAACACATTGGCCTAGTTAGGCGGTAAACTCTCACGGAGCACTAGAACCGACGATGAAGTTGCGCAACGGATCTCCAAGGACAGCTAGGTCATCGGCCGGTTGCAAGCATCAGTGTGCAATCACCACGGTCTACATCTTAAAACCAGACTCAAGTTGTAAAAAACTGTCATCTTAACGACATTGCTGTATGGAACGGGAGCCTGGGCAGCCTACGAGAGAAAAGCGCGGAAACACAGCCCTTCCACCACAGCTGCCTCCGAGTAATACTGAAACTGAGATGGCAAGACAGGACACACGAGTCCTTGAGCGAACCGGCACCCTCAGCATCCACACCATGCTGGGGCAAATACAATTACGATAGAATGATCACGTCGTGAGGATGGATAACGAGCACCAACCCAAGCACCACCCTGCGTCGCTTTCGCTATGGATGTTCGCCGACAAGGAGGCCAAAAACGGAGCTACAGGGGCACCCTCAAAACCTCTTTCAAGCGAATGCAAATCAACCAGAAGACTTTGGAGGACCTCGCAAGGGACCGATCGGCCAGCCAAAGAACAGTAAAGACTAGAGGCGTAATCCAAGAGGCCGACCGGATCGCCGCTGCCAAAGCCAAAAGAGCGGGTTGCAAGTCGCAAGCGCCTCCGAGCCACAACGCCAACACTCCACCCCTTCCAAAACGTCCAAACTGCCAACGAACGCTCCGTGCACAGGTCGACCTCATCAGACGTCTGAGGGGTCAATCCAGCAATAAAACGACAACTCAATCTGCTGTTTCCGAAAACACCTCCATCATCACCCTCGCACTGACCCTCACCACGTGCGCGACAGCGACCACCAACACCACCAGTAATCATACCCCTGATACTCCGCCGCCGTCGATCACAGCCACTCCCATCATTCTTGTCCCAACCCCCGCGACGACGGCGACGACTGCCACAGCCTCCAAACCCACAACCAGTGTGAACACTCCAAACGCCGGGACAGTTATCACGGTCACCTCCACCACCACGAATGCGAATTCGATCCCCAACGGTCCCCATTGCGACCGCAGCTTCATATCACGTATCGGCCTGGCAGGTCATTTGCAAATCCATCGAACTGCGACTGGTAGCCCAGTGCCAGGAGTCCGACATACACCCGCCTCCATTTTCTGCAATGTCCACGCACATGCACTCATCTCATGGGCTTATGCGACCACGTTCGTATCCATGACAGCGGAACTAACCGCAATGACGGCATTCTAAGCCCACCTTGCATATCTGCAACCATCGTATAAACTACCCGCAATACCCACGCACATTCAGCCATTGTATGAGTCTACCCGGTTAAATGAGCCCTCATGCTAATCCTCGGTAAACTATTACAGACCAAACCCCACCACCGCATACACCACGCATGAGACCGTCTCGCATCACCCACCACAGGCAACAAAGGGGCATCTCCTGCCTATGTGAAACGCGTGACCCTTGACTCCTCCATGTGGTCCCTCTGCCACTCAAATACATGTGAGATCCGAGCAGCTCATCCGGCGTGCTGTACGCGGAGTCGGGTCCTGTGTGTGGGGCACGCATAGACGGGCCATCTGGGCTCTGCCAGTCACTACGCCTAACCTCAGCATCATCTAATTGACAGGCTCGGACAGTCGACTGACGCCTGGAAGAGAGAAGGGTAGAGAGGAAGGTCGACTCTCAGCGCACACTAGCCACTTTAAACAATCAGACGCGTTTTTAAACTATCACTGCCCACTAGGGGCCGCGGCTTGAAAGTCTGCCAACTGAGGGAACAACTCAATCCTCCTCTCAAGACGAAGAGTCGGGCTGCAATGATTCCCTCTGAATGTATCGTCCATGGCATTCACCCTCAGTCGGCATCCGAGCTGCCCCCCTTTCTAGATGTGTAAAAAAACACTGGCCCATTGTGCACGGATCGGGCGTGTGTGTGACACGCATAGACGAGTTGTTTAGTTCTGCCAGCCCCGCCCCTGGTCCTCTTAACTCTGTTTTGACACCGGGTCCAGGTGGGTGAGGGAGAGAGTTCAGTAGATGCTGTGCAAGTCTACTACTACTATAAACTGATTCACGAGCAAGTCGTCGTCCCTGCGCCCACCCCGCTGTGGGGCACACGGTGGACATAGTAAGAGTCGACGTTCGAACCGTCATGGGGCGGATATATAGTTATCATTCAAAAGGCTTGCGCCTGAAGAACAACCAGGATAGAGCATAGACGTGTACCTCCCTGAAAAATATTCGTACAGAGAACCATTGTCACGCATTAACACAAGCGTGTGGCACAAATGCGACTTTCCCTTTTCATATACAAGGACACCTCGTTTCGCTTTCTAAATGGCCTCAATTACCACCATTCCCGTATTACATGTGACCTTGTGCCATAATTCGCGGGAGGGGATAAACATATCCGTGTCCGATCTCAACCAACTTTATGTACATGCTGGTAGAAGGAACAGGCAAGCTCCTACATAGCAGATGACAAAACAGTCACTAAGTGGGATACAGGCCACGAATAGGTGACTATAACGTGCAACAACAGGGGCCAACGAATAACAGAGTCGGACGGAAAAAGACAAGAGCTTGCGAGGCGCGGTAAGACAAAATAAACGATTCTGGATTATAGTTATGTCACAACATATTTCTGCCCTTTGGGGTAAATCATGGAAGCTATATTTGTCAGCTTAGGTCTCAAGGCCTATGCAAAGAGTGGAGTTTCCTTCAGTCGACTGCAGGGCGTAAACTACGTCTTTATTCCTACTAAGCTGGCAACAATGTGTGTTCTGGAAATAAGTTCCCTTCACTGTGCTGTCAACACAGGTACTAGCCAAAAGCTAACTCCAGATTTCAACTTAGGTATTGCAACGTTGGTACACATTATGATTGCTCTTAAAGCCGATAATACTAGCTATTACTGCTTTCAATTTACGGTCACAGCGATGGCCAAGTATACAGAACATACCAAACTGATAATTAGACGTAGGGAATGATGAATCCAATACCACCATGTTTACTTACATAAAATGTAAGGTGATACGAAGGAAATTCTTCCAAAAGTAGGGTCTCGAATGACATCGGCTATCGCCCTTAAATTTCGATGGATATCGTGCGTTGAAAACAAAAGTCACATCAAACAAATAGACATATGGCGGATATTGAGGAAACCGGGCCTAAAGGTCTGTAAGCGTTCGCTATGCCAAGATCAGCAAACCATGGCCCTCACAACCTGGTGTGCGCTGGCAGTTCCCTGACACCTGGTTCCCTGCCGGTAGCTGCGCTTGCGCTCCCGCTGGGTATCCAGGTCGTGAGCATGGCTGCTCAGTCATACTCGCCCTTCTGACCCGTCGTTGTTGGTTAAAATCTCAGTCAATTGTTTTGTAGACCGGGGAGCGTGGGGTTGAACGCCAAGGCGCGGGCCCGGCCGCGCCATCCACCTGCGTCCTCCCCGCCTACATTCTTGACTCTGCCTTGACACGGGACTCAGGTGGGGGAGGAGTAAAGAGTGCGACAGATTCTACGCAATGCTACACTCACTATAAACTAATTCACGCTCAGGTCAGCGTGACTGCTTCACCTTGCTGTGAAGCACATGATGGACATCGTCAAATGCGGCAGTCTAACTGTCGTATTCAAAAACCCTCTAAACCGTGAGGACGACGTCACCACTTTTGAAGAACAAGTGATTATTTGGAAAATAGGAAAAGGAAATTAATCCATTGCTCAAAACGCTTGTTTGAGCAGAAACAGTCCGAGGTCTAGGCGGAGGATTCTGGAAAAGCTGCTGAAAACGGGAGTTTTAAAGTCGCGAGAGGTGTTCATGAGAAAACCGAAGAGGTCCGCGGTGTTGGCGAGAAGCGTACCGGTGTCTAGAGCTTTCCCGATGGACATCAATTGAACTTCCCGCCGTGGCTCCCCTCCAAAAATTAACGAAATGTGGCGGTTATTGAGCAACAACTCGCGACGGCCTGCCGGCCACGTCCGGGCAATATGAAGCGAGTCGAAAAGCGCTTGACTTAGAGGTCCTTGGTCTGTGATTGCACCAAGAGCAGTGTTGGGTAGGCGACAAAAAGGGGCCATTTGTTGGCCGCAAATCACCCTGTTAGTAATGAGGAAATTCGTCACTTCAGTGTGGCTGGTTTATTTTTGGATTCCGCAATTTTGCTGTTCAACGAGGTGTACCACTTAGGCTGTCTTAAGCTTCTAAGGTGGCTATGCCAGCTGCCGTAATGCTATTCCGGTAGGTTCAACTGGGCAGTTTCACATTAGCCAGTCATTGTCGTCGAACCTGCCTATATTTCAGTGTCTCCTTGGTCCAACTTTCTTCAAAAATAGTGATGCGGACATTGCTGAACAACGCCCGCCAGTTCTCACTATTCCTCTCCTACTCGAGATGGACTGTTTCCAGCGTCTTCCAGTTTTAAGGCAAGACACTACCTAGACCCAGATAGTTGCTGTTTCACATTATTTTTGTCGGCCTAACCTCTGATGGGTCCATCTGCCCAGCATAGTTGACGACGGGGCTTGACAAAAACGATCGCGTGCTTGAGAGGGAGACTATGGCTACTGTAATGTCCACCTTAGCATACACTTCAGTAGCCTGCAATGCGTCATTTTAGCGTCTTTATCTTTCCAAAACACACGCCTCATTTGCTGTCCATAAATGTGTTCACATGGGGTACCTCACGCCAGCTAGGCTCCTCTAGCGGCGCGAGGACGATAGAGAGCGGAGTCTTGGTGCCCACTGGCTGGAGACATAAAACGTGAAAGGGGCCACAATATCCACCGAGGGAAACTGGAAACACGGACTGCGGGAAGCGCAGGAAAACAGACGTCTTGGATTTGGTCAGCTCTGCTATACGTGGAAGAAAATGAACGCGTCAGCTCCCAAACGGCCGCTTACTGCAGTAGAAGTTTGCCCGTAAAAAATCTCGGTTTCGTCACACTGACAAATTGAAAATTAGAAGTAGACCTGATCACTGGAATGAGGGGTTCATTGGTCCGACGACTTATATTCACACATAAATTCATTGCCAGGTATGTAAAAGTGATATATAGAAACGCGCAGGGCGTGCAGAATTCGCAGGACGGACTCACAAACCAGACACACACAGCTATTGGTTGTAAAATCGCGCTCGAAGCCCGAGTATTCGAAATCGGTGCCATAGTTGTGTCCATATTGACAGTCTACACGAAGGCTTGATAACCTTGCTCGTCAGTACCGTATGTTTAATTAGATGCCACCAGTGTGATTAATTCCACCGTCTGTTGGACAAATAAACCCCCTGTCCGAATGATCAAGTCTGCTCACTTACTACCTGAAATTGGACTATTTGCGTGTATCAGTAATGAACACAGTCAGAAGCTTATTTAAAATTATTCGCCTTCCGCTCTCGCAGCTCTCTGCGCTAAAATCATATGCACACGGTGCATACGCGTCCGTGTTCGTTGTTAGCCAGCCAGGAATGCAAAAAACCTACTTTCTCCGTCCTGGGACGCGACCCATGCGCAAAACGGTTCCTTCTACCTGCGTCCGATAAGAAGCCTCGACGATAAAGACTGGTTTCTGTCCTTAGGCGACCCCGAAAGCGCGAGGAATTCAGGCGTATAGGAGATACGATGTCCTTGTGTCCATCACCTTCTCCTCCCCCCTCAACCACCACAATATTAAGTAGTGTGCTTGTGCGTGTGCGCACACCAGAATCAAAGAAGTGTCATAAATTTCCACTCCCAAGAAGAGCCAGCTCATACCGCGATTTTGCTATCGTCAGAGACCATAAACGGGTCAGTCATCGCAGGACGCAGCAGTTGCCCTAATCAGGTGTGCGCCTCTGGTGAAAAGAAGCGCTATGGGTGAGAGGCAGAGTCAAAGGGTGCAGTCACCGCACCAGGCCGATCGTAATGAGCATTTTCATGCCTGGCACTGACCCCCACGGAGTGACAAAAGACCTCAGCAAACCACCATCACAGGGGAAAAAGACGAAACATTGAAGGACACGGTGGTGGCAACGCACTTCCACTGCTTGGCAGACTGCCGTCATCGGAGAGGTGACGAAACTGTTCTCCAGTGAAGGGTGCGGAGGCGGTCGCCACGCCCCCTGCTCCGCCCATGGGTAGTGGTGGCGGAGGGTACGGTGGGGGTGGGGGGATTGCTGTGGAGACGGCGACGACGTTGGGAGTGTTGGCTGACTGGGAGTTCACAACTAGCACTGGTGGTAACACCAACTGATGTTGGAGTTGGCGTTGCTGCGTTATGCCGGGTGTCGGATGGGCCGACCAGTGAGACTGTGAAACGGAAACTGTGTCCAGGTAGTTCACTGGGTTAGTGGTTGGAGGTGCAGTCGTAGAGGGCGCGAAATCCGGTTTACTGTCGGTCTGGAAAAAAGTACGCACAGGATGGGGCATTCCAAAACACGAGTTCAAAAAGAGGTGTGTTGATTAAAAGCAATGAGGAATACGTGGTCACCAGGGTCACCTTCGAAGGTAAAGAAACTTTTCTAGTATGGATGGAGACCTCTAATGGAGGTGTTACCGACAACGAAGAGATAGGAATGCTACTTTTTGTTTATTTATTTGGTATCTCCAATCAGATGAACCCCAGTCGCGGTCGTACACCCAAGATTTGAGCCTTGAACAATTGGTCATCGAAAAATTTTTAGTCAAACGCCAAACCCTTTTCCGTCGGTTGAGGTCGAGAATGTTGAGAATCATTTTCATCAACGTTTAGTGTTCGCTAAGATACTTCCCCGTATTTCCTTCTTCAAGACTTATTATCCCGGATTTGTTTAAAAAATGCAAATTTATCTCCTCGGAAATCTGAATTTGGCGGACAAAATTGCAAATGTAAGCCAGACGACAGGAAAAACAGTGAAACGTCAACAAATCCGATTGGACGGCGGTGAAACCATAAATAGACATCTTAAGTCATTACGGATCCAGAGATAAAAGTACGAAAATCCCAAGGCGTCTTTACTAAGGGTCAGCTCTCCTCTTTCAATGAAATTGACGCAGCTTTACTGGGAGTACAGCAACTAGTGGTCTTTCACTTACGGAGGAGAACCCTTTCATTGCCGAGATAAAGATTTTTTATGAAAACGTCGGTTTTGTAATACCGAAATTAGAAGCTAGGGAGAAAGGATCATAAAAAGTATAGATTAAGCAGGGTAAAGTGTTTCACTTCACCCTAGTAAACCTAAGCTCACGGAGACATTAAGGAACCTTCGAAAGCATGGAAGTGAGAAACGCACCTGAGCTTGGTATAATGATGGTATAAAGCGCGAACAGGAGACCTTACAGGCAGTAAACAATAAGATGTGGTTTGCGATTACGGCACAAATAGGTGCCCACATAGGCATGCCTGATTTGGGTCCTTTCAGATGATTTTGGCCTCAAACAGAGACATTGGTAGATTCGAAGCCGTCAGACATCAGAGAGTGACTACCTGCGTTCAGTGCAGTCTCCCCGGACAAGGTTGTGCCATTCAACAAAAGTGTATCCTTCCTCCCCTCCCTTGCTAGCCCGGTCGTCGTTCGTAAGTGTTTTTCATCAAAGCCCTTGTGTGAGTGATCGGAAGACAAGTGGTGAGGATCCACCAGGTCGAGCCGACCGTCCATCACTAAACGTGGGGAGGATTTCGACCACGAACACCGCCATCTGCACAAGTCGGCTTCCAATTAGCAATCAAAATAACATTTCCGTCGTAGAAAAGGCACAGAATCTTATCATAGAGGTGAGGGGGACGGAGAGTCTACCACAAAAAACATGAAATTATCATGCCAATTTTGGCCACAACGGGAGAGTAGTGGAGGAAGGGGGAGGGAACATGGTGGTAAAACTGCAGGCACTGTTTTGCGAACCTTCCGTAGTATGGAGGCCAGAAAGGAGCGAATTTATCCACCTAAAAAATTGTCTACCCAAACTAAGCCAAAGTCGCTTCTGGTCCTTAAAACACGAAACTTTGAGCCATTTAGACCGTAAAGATCAGATAAGATTTTGGGTGCGTCAAACCGTTTGTTGTGAGAAACTGACCGAATGACAAGATCACACTCGCCCTCACCCTGCAACTGAAGCGCAAAGGAAGTGGGAGTGTTCAGAGAGATAAGAATTTGTTCGAGATGTGTTATGAACAAAGGTGAGGAACGGTGGAATTCCTTTTTGGCTGAAAAGCCTGCGTCCAGACAGTATACACAGTGCTTTCCACTGGTGCCTGACCTGACTGACAACGACACGACATCTGCCAATGGGGAGGTGTGGATGCGTCAACCGGGCAACTTCCATATAAAAAATAGACTGATCCTTCAGTCCGTGCGCATAAACTACTAATAATAACTTTTTTCTGGGGTAGTTACTTACAGGAAAATGTGGAAGTGGGTAATTTTTTGCTTAAACCAAATGCAAACCGAGTTTTATGTCTCCTCTCTGGGAAAAAAGCGAAAAAAGTTAAGGAACAGGGGAAAAGCGAAAAAAGTTAAGGAACAGGGGACCGGACAAAACTAGGCAAGCCAAGAAGACAACCGCAACATTGAACGCTGAGAAGTACACTACGTGTGAGTTTAACATTGGCGTCCGGTAGTAGATAGACCGATAAAATAATCCTTTTCTAACTTATTCACTGTCGAATAATTGCCTGAGAAAAGACAGGTACTCGACAGGATCGTAGATGATATGTTCAAGTGCAGGTACACAATTCAAAGAAGAATGTGTGTGGTTAGTCAATAAGCAATGATGTCTGAGTACACTGCGAGAGTACTATCAAATAAGTTAGGAACTTTGGTCTCCAGGTCTACTTGCTATGGTCGGTTGTAAACCTGCCGCTTGAGAGGTTAGTTAGAATTCCAAAAACACTCTCACAGGCGGCGCGGCGAACCATTGGCTGGTAACATATACAAGAGAAAACTTTCTGAGCGAAAACTGTGGAAGGAGCATGCTTTAATGACACCATCAAGTTTCGCGACCTTCTATTTAACTGGCAACTGGACGTTAATGGAGCGTTTCACACGCTGTGTTAAGACTACCTAGAACATGTATGATTAGAGAATAGGCAGCATGGAGTAGTAGTCAGGCAAGTTATTGTAAATATTGAGGAAGGTGGACGTGTTATAGTGAAAAACAGGTCAGAATAAGTCAAGTGCTACAAGAAATGAACAGAATGGAAGACCAGTCCGCGATGCCAGAGGGGCTAACTAGAGTTAGAGAAATGTTGAAGTTGCCACCCGGGACAAGATACATGCCAGGATATTGCGTGGTTCCGGCTCCCCAGTTAGTTAGCCTCTGAGCAGTGTGGAGACGGACCGTCCTTGAGTAGAAGAGAACTTTGCGCGCCAACCCTGGACCAACCAGGGTTAGTGCCCAAAAGGCGCTTTGTTGCTGAATTTCTCGAAACGCCTTTGCCGTCAGCATGAAACGTGCAACACTTCTTTCAAACTTCTATCAGATGTGACTTAAATTGCCATAAGACCCGGTTTGTCTAACAAGCACTTTGGCAATTCGTGGATTAATCCACCACTAGCCCACGAAGTCCGATGAGTGGAGACCGATTGCTAATGGACGAATGGCCTCTAAACCAGGTGAAGTCTAGGTCCCGTTACATTAATCTCTTGATTCTACATGAACAGGTAGCGAATACAAAATACCTGTGCGTGGGTTACCTGCCTGTCTTTCCCCACAAAACGGTAAGGTATGCAAGTTATCGCATCACTTATGCGGAGGCGGGGAGAAACGACTAAACTCGTAGACGTACAATAGCTACAGAAGGCGCGATTCCGTCTCCGGTAGATTGGCCACTGTTTTTACGAGATTCACAACTGTCATGGGCCAACAATTTGGTTTTATTGTTTAATGCGGAACTTTCGTAAACATATTCATTCGCTCAGACGACTAACACCTTCGTTCAGTTATGATTCCCGAGCACCCCACATGTCCTTCGGTGGAATGCTGTTTTATCCGTTTAGAGACTGGATCTTGGCTAGCGTAAAGGCAGAGGACGGTCGCCCGTCATAATGGATGATGATGTCGCCTCCGGCCGGCTTTCCCGCGGACTTGCCATTGGCACATGATGGGGAGGAAAAAGAAAGTAAGGCCGACCCTACACGACCTTTCCCCACTAGAACAAATCTGACGCGTCCAGAGCTAAAAATAGCGATCCGGAGGATTGTCAACTGACGGGTTCAACTCATATGTGAGCGTCAGGCCGCAATGACCCCCCGCTTAATGTGCCCCTTAGGGCAACTCTCACTAATGTGAGATATTGGGTGAGGGGACAACACGTGTGTGGCACGCGTCGAGGGGGCGAATGTCAACCATTGCGGCCGGGCCCGTTTCCAGCTGTCTGTGTATTCAGTATTTGCTTCGCAAGCTCCCACCCTCCCTCACTTTAACTCGACGAACGACAGGTATCACCGCTTGCTAGGAAAGTGGTGACCACTGTCACTTAGCAAACGTGAAATAGAGGGGGGGGGGGGACAGGATGACCTAGGCGTGAATCCAATGACTGTGAAAAACTTGCGTATTAGCAACCTTCATTCCTAACCGGAATCACGGGTAAAACGGTTTTAGCGAGGACAACACAGTTAGCTGAAGTGACTGACGAGTCATAATACCTCAAGTTGCATGTGTCAAAACACGGCGTTAATTTTCTTATCACTGAGCAGGACTTCACGCAGTTAAATATGCAGCAACATTTTAGGTCACAGCCTCTAATGTTCCGAAGGATTAATCAAGCTCTCTATAGGCCTGAAGCCCGAGCCATTTTCGGGGCTGGCGTTGCCATGCCTGACCAAGAGTGGCACGCTTGTGACTGTTCTTAGGCACTGGACTAAACGAAGGCCCCAACTCAACAAATGGCCACATTTTCCCGTCCAAAATCTGTGAAATCATTCGCCTTCGGGGCGGTTACGGAACAGACCGTCGGAGTCTAAAAACATATATGAAACGACCCGAGTCTCATATATTAGTGTGGCTTCGAAAGTTGCCCGATTGACTATGTATGACTAGGTCCGATTCAGGACTGGAAGCCATACTGTAATACCTTCTTAATGTGGATTTTACGGGACTCTCATCTAAGTGAGGCTCGAGATCCCCCCAATGACAACTGTTTTTGATTCCTGTGAAATTGGGGATCAACATGTGTGTGACACGCGTAGACAAGGTCTCAGTCTCGTCAGCCACTGCGCCCGGGCCCAGCTCTGGCAGTTTCGACGGTCTTGTCATTGAAAAATTGTGGGTGTGGGAAAAAGGCGCAAGGTAGATGCAGGACAAATCTGCTTCACCACAAGCAACTTTACGCGTTCTCTAGGGAGGGGAAGAGGAAGGGGGACAGTCGTGGTCCTGGTCGTTTACGACGGGCGAAAGTACTGTAATACCCTGAAAATCAGCGCTTCCAAATCCTCAACCTCGTAAATTCGCGTATTTTTCCCTGAAACCTAACAATTAAAATTCGAGAGGTCAGAAGATGTAATCCGTAGATTTTTTTGTGACCGGTAAATTGTATACATATTATTTTTAACGCTAATTTGTTAAGAATAATGATAAATGGACGTGATTTCACAAAAGTGGTATTTTGCTTACTGTATACGATGATACTGTATGTATTATTATCATATTTTACTATCGACTTATGAACTACAAACAGTTAACGCACGATTCGCTTTGTTTATGTTTCTAACGTCAGCTGATCGAAACTACTACTTGTATAAAATTTTCTAGTACCGTAAAACTAATTTCCTACTTACAGTATCATATTTCTAATTCTAGTAGAAAACACAGGCATAGCGACCATTTGCATCACCATTAACGTTTGTAAGGACTACTGCTGACTTTAATGTATCCAAATCAACAAACTCACAAAAACGGGAGGATGAAGGGAAGGGGAAGAAGACGAAGAGGAGGAAGAAGAGCATGAATAAGACGAAGAAGAAGAAAAAAAAAAGAAAAAGGGAGGAGGGGGAGGGCGGGAATCCGATTGCATACCTGATTTCGAGCACAGTCGGGCAACATGAGACAGCTGCTTGCGTACGGAGGCACCTCATCGGTAGCCGAGGTCATTGAGGGCGTGAAAGCGGGCGCCCATTGGGAAGAAGGATCATAGGCGGATGCGAACTGATGCACCACATGCGGATTCTGTGTATTGGGAGGCAATAGGAATACTGCGTTACTCATCGATGGTGGTGGTTGTTGTTGTTTCTGCTGAGGCGGCGTCTGGAAGACACTCCCGTCGGCGGAGCTCTGTAAATGTGCCATAGGAGACGAGAAGCTACTGGAAACACCCCCACTGAGAGACATGCCGCTGCTGACCATACTGTAAGCCGGATCACCAACAACGAGGGGGACCTGTGTGCTCGACGCGGCATCAGCGGTCATAAATTCGGCGTATTTGTTGGTCATGGGTGTGGGAAAAGGCATATTGGGAGGAGGTGGTAGCTGGACCCTCTGACCGTTGTAGTAGGTGTTCTGACCATGCGCAGTCATGGAGCTTCCCGACGAGGTGCTCTTAGTGAAATTCTCCTCCTGTGAGTAATTAACACTGTTCTGTAGCAAAATTGGCGTTTCCGAGGAGACCGCAGTAATGGTAGTTGTAGCTGCATTAATTCTAGGGCCGCCTGTGTCACAAAAGGAGTTGGCCTGCGAGAGCAGACGTACGAGCTCTATGTTCCCGCGTGTGTCAGAAGACAGGTTCTTCAGGGCGAAGGATGGTCTTCGCTGGAATAGGTTGGCAGCAGCTTGTTCGCTGGCTTTGGCACTGGACTCGCAGTCTGTCAGTTGGCTCGATTTAGTACCCGAGGAAGCGGAAGATGGTGGGAAAGGATTCGTTGTTACTGTTGACGGTGGTGGTGGGGCAGAAATCAGGAAGATGCTGTCCGTCCTCGCTGCGGTGGCTGAGACAGCTGTCTTCGTTTTGGCCTCAGCGACAGAATTATGTAGACAGCAGCGAGGCTCTCGACGGCACGCGCAGAGGTAAACAAGCAATCCCACAGTGATCCAGACGACAACGATGCCACATACTACGCCGTAGGCCCAAGAGGGGAAGGGCGGTGCGGCAGACAGTCTGGTGGGTGATGAGACCAGGGAGGCTAAGACGGGCATCCGGTAACCAGGACCTCTGACACCCTCGCCGCGGCACGTTATTCCCGCCAGGAAGATGGTGTACTCGACATGTGGGTTCAATCCATGCACATCATGCATATGCACGTCAGGCGGTACCTAAATAACCGAAACGGAGATCATTAAAGCCCAACTCTGAGAAGATGAATGCATGCAACTGTGAGCATTTGCGACAATCACACAGGCCCTGAAGATGGAACTGCCAGCCACTGGCAGTCTCTTATAGGTGCAAGGTAGTAAACGGTATCATCATATAGACTGAACGGGGTAATCATCCAGTAATCCGAAAGGTCTCGGCGTCGCATATTTAGTAAAAGCTTCCACGTGAATCAGGGGGTAGGGGACGGAGATGGTAGCATGATGACCACGAAGGGGGAGAAGGGGAACTTCGCGTAGGCGAAAACATGCTAGCCCAGACCGATCACTTGAGAACTAGGAACCATGAACGGTTCAGACATTCCACGTACTTGAAACACTTTATTTAAGAAGCCTACAAGCGTTATTCTTCAACTAGGATGCATTTACAAATACTGAATCAAAGCGCAGGCAATAACAAAGAATTGGACTGGTAGCCGGCATTCGTTGAACCCGCTCTAGAATTTGACCAAACGCGCATGGTAGACTACACAAAAAGCACTATTTATGAAATGACAGTTTAAGTCATTTCTGGAGGGAGACAAGAACTACGTCTACTCAAGCCATAGTGTCTCCCCTCAAATAAAGTAGAGGCGTCCACATGGAAAACCCCATTTAGGTACCAGAACTAATGTGTATGTTTTAGGGAGGACTCGGTCACAAATCATATGGTTCGTTACTGCACGAAACACGATACCCAATGACAAACCAAAGTGATGTGAAAAAAACCGCAGTTGTACAGGCTGGATAAAACGAGTAAGAATGTCTAAATACCGTGTGGAATCGGGTATCAAAGAAAGCAGTGGAAACTTCGAATACATTGTAATTTTCTTTCCTTGTCATGCACAAAGCTAGCTAAATGAGAATAAATTCGTAAATACTTCCCTGTCCCGCGTCCAAACACACCGCTGGTTCCTGTGGTTTGGCCTTGATAGCCTCCTACCCGGCATTCTCATCAATCAGCCGCTAGGTGCTGGACACCTCAGCAGGGTCAAGGATTTGCCTTGAATTTCTACTTCGGTGATCGACTTCCCTCGGTAGTAAGGTACATGCCGGCATCACAGAGGAAACTTTCATGTCAGTTCTTTCATAGCGCGTTCACTGTTAACTGAATGCCCGTTACGTATTCCGACAATGCCTACAAACTATCGTTTAGTATTGTTTTCACTGATATTGTGAGTGTAGATGGTCGTAGAAACCGCAAACGTCAAAAGTCATCCTTACATGCGAGATAGCTTCGGCTTAATCCATTGTTATACTGTATCTCAGAAAGAGACTCTAGACAGTGAATTTTCAGAAACCCGTATGAAACTGCCATGACTAATTCCCATGACGATAACACGATCTTAATTTGTCAAGTAAACAGGATAGGTACAGAAAATCGGCATATGCAAACAAGAAAACCGCTTAGTGCACCCAGAGTCCAGCAAACATTTTTTTATAGAAAAAACAGACAATATAGTTATAGGGACCGATTATAGGGCGTTATAAACCTCATTCTCTACTTGTGGGCGGTGTTCACTTAGAACTACAGGGTTGCAATTACTTGATTAGATTTGTTTATTGGTAGATTGACAGCGTAAAGTACGCCTACAAAGTAAGCTAGCTGACAGCAGACAAAAGCTGACGACGGCCGGTTACTTTGCCCTGTACGGCTGACTTCGAAGGGTCAAGGTTGGGACACCAAGGTAACACATCAACGTCTGTATTTCATGCCGCGATCAAGCTAGACCCGTGAACTTCCCTCCGACATGCCTTTGAATACGTCCGGTCGCTGCCGACGGAGGGTGATGGCGATAGTTCAGCTGGCAGTACGACTGATTCAAAGCTCAACCGGACCCAGCCTCAATTCTTTGTCTTGCCAACCGGAAATTGGCGCATGGATAGCTGATGGTAGTAAATAGACCAGGTAAGACGTCCCGGCCTTCCTTGTCACTGTCTGTAACAGCCACTGATTAGCTTCTGTGCTAACCACGCGGACGCTAGCCAGAGCCCTAAAACGGAGCTCCCGAGGCACAACGGAAAGCACCCTGTCCTGTCCTACAGTCAGACTATCATGTCGCAAGATCCTATGATAGGGCGTCTTCCCACATTGGACCAACCTGGTTTCACTTTGATGTGTCAAAGGCCATGGGCATCTCCGTCTGCTACGATACCGAAGGTAGCTGTTGATGAAGTGCTCATGGAAGCGCTTAAGCCCCATGTTACAGTTTTCGACTTCTATTGCATGTGGACCAGCTGACAAGCATGCGTGTGTTTTTGATGAAACTCTCGTCGGACGGGGTGCAAGTAAGACGTGAAATCCACTTAAGTTTATGAGATGGGTTCCATCTGCATCCTGGGTACTTTCACGCACATTGTGTAGGTGCCTACTGGGAGGCTGCACGTTAGAGCTCATTGATCGGATAGAGAGCGGGGGTGGGGGGTTGTGACAAAGCTCGGACAATTCTGGACCCTTGCAGGCCTCGGCAAAAGACGCGCTCTCGACAATTTCAATTTGGACCTAGTGCAGGGAGTGCAACGACTGCTCGAGGACTGGCCGCGCGTCCGCAGGTCACAGACAGAAGGTGCAAAAGAAAAGGCAAATGATGCACCTCTGCACGCGCGCGCGAGCGCGCGCGCAGGCAGACAGACATCGCCAAAGGGGGGGGGAGGGGGGACGCCAGCCACCGCGAGAGGACAGGGTGATGAGACGCCGGCCAGGGCGGCGAATTAGTCATCGCCGTTGCGCGCACATCGGTAAATACGTGCGCAAATTCGCACGCACAAGCGTACAGCCAGGGACGCCGCCCAAGTTCACCGACGTTGCCACCGTCACTCGGGGAAGCGAATGTGGGATCTCTGAGGTCGTTGTGTGATGACCGCATTTTGGTGCCGAAAATCAGCACTACTTGATTGACGGATGAAGCCCCACAAACAGAGCAGCGTCAACAGTCAAGGTGCTCCGCAATGGCCTCAGGGCTTAGAGATGCCAAAAGGTACACAGCTTTTCCAAGATAAAGACTCCGTTAGGATAAAGGAAGAAAACCCACCCGAAGGAAAAAAATGTCTGCGTTTCTAAGGCAGAATCCACTAGTCAGTGACTGCGCTGGTGCCACGACGGATAAACAATCCTAGATTTTGCCTTGCCAGCCTAAAGCTTCTACTTGCCTCCGAAGTAAGTTTGCGCAGTTTTCAGGACATAATCAAGTTCGGAAATCGGGATTCAGGGCGGGAATCCAAGTGAAAGAGTTAACAGTCGCGTCTCACCTCAGATAGCACAACACGTTTTAGGACTATTTTCATTTAGTCTCGGTAGAACACTTTCGACCTGTAAATCCGAATGCGAACTTCGGTTGACCGAGGATGCAGGGTTGGTGTGACCAGCAAAAAGGGCTAAACTGTAAAAACTTCCTCCTCGGAACTGAGAACAACCTGATTCAGAGCGTGCGCGACCATCAAGGCTTTGGGCAAAAAAACTGGGCCTTAACTTTCTGTGATAACGTAACCTGATTATCGCGAAATCACGAGGCCTCGAAAATGACTAACATCATTAGTAGAGCCAGCTTCGAATTTTTCATCCCATTGTCTAGCGCAAGCGTAGAAAGCAGCAACATTACCCGGAAAACCCAGGATTGAGTGATTCCGTGCCTTGCTGCTCTTACCTGTACCGTATTCCCAATGTCCCTCAAAAACAATGACGAGCCTATCCTACCAGAACAGTGCTGCCTGACTGGAAAGTGATGCGATTGGTCAAGCTTCGAAATGCAGCCTCTCAAACGTTCGCTTGGGGTTGAGTAGACCAGGCAGGCAGGACGATCAATCATACTCCCCGTTGCGAGGGGAGGAGGTGAAGGCGTCCAAGAGAGACGTCGGGTCTGAGCAGCAGGAGTGGAAGAGGCGGGAGGGAGAGGGCGTATTTGAGCATCAGCATCGCAGTAGCAGAGGCTGGCGACGGACAGTTGAGGTATGAGCAAATGTGCCAGATCGTGGCAGCCCTAACGTAGGCGACGATGACTGATTCTTGATGTTCATAATTTCTTTTCGACCTAATGCGAACACCCCATGCGGTCTTGAAAGATACAAACTGTGATCGGTATAAAACACGCGGCAGAAAGCTACTCGATTATGTGTTGAGAGAAAATGCTGCTGTTGGCACACAGAACATCGAGGACGGCAGGCCCGGAGAGTTGGGAGACTCGAGAACGTAGTCCACAAGGGCAATCTTACAACATGAGGGACCAGCACATATCGGGTTTCATGGGGCTCTTGGCAAGCGAGGAGAGGCCTCTGCTCGCCTCGCCGCGCCCATTGTACCGAAATCGGGAAAGCGAGGCAACAAAGCTAGGAAATGGTGGGCGGGGTGAGGGAAACAAGGCGCTGAGTCATGCCTGCTTCTATTACCATGGTCGCCGCGAGTGTCCACACGGCTGTCGTGGTCGAGGCACTCGGTTTACGAACGATACAATCCCCACTCAAACACTGCCATCATCCGAAAAATATGACTGAAAAAGTCCACTGGGGGTAGTAAATGCTGTCCGGACCGGTAGTTGCCTAATATACATGAACGTGCCTGTGTTGCACAATGTTGCTAACCAGACGCGAATGCTTCCGGCCATTGTGAACCATTCGGTCCAGCCCGTGGATTAATAACCGAAAAAGCCCAAGACGGGCGTAAAATAAGGTAGACTTGAGAGATGGAGTCTACGTTGCTGCATGACGTAACCAACGACCGCTTAGGATCTAGGTTCGACTGCCCTAGATAAACTACGCTTTCCAGGAAGAATCGTCTGGTTGGAATAGGGGTACCCAATGGACTAATGCTAGGCGCCTTCAAGAACTAAAAACTCATTTAATTGTCTTCCTAATTATCGCTTGCTGAAAGTGAAGATGTTTTCATCTAGAAGCCTGGATAAAACCGTCAATTCAATTAGCCACCGCGAATTACGAGAGCTTATTTAACAGAATAAGATAGCCACACTTCAACGCCGTCTGCGGAAAAGCTGAGATTGAAACTCGTATCCAGATGACTGGGCCGTTGTAACTGAACCACTGGCTCAAGCTCCGTCAATCGTGGAGTTCACAGCCAGGTGGGTGTCACTCACGGATATGGACAAACTGCTGGACGAGACACGGTCCGACCTAACAGGTGCCTTAAGCTAGCTTCTGGCCAAACCTGTTAGCGCTTGTACTTGTAATTGCTTTCATCATAACCGTATCGGCGGGCTTCGTGTTGCTGATTCACCATATCGCGAAGGATCACCTATTTTTGCCGGTCGGAGGCAGATCCTCAAGCGAAGTTGAACGAGCTGCTACGCCAGTCTCGCAGACCGAAAACAGCAGAATTAAAGATGTGCAGGGGGTGAGTCCTCACCAGGTCCAACACGTCTGCAATTGACCGTCGTTGCCAGCCAGGGCCGGATTCGGGGGAGGTGACATTCCGGATGATTCCGCCCTCGGGTCAGTGCAGAGTACGGCCGAACTAGCTAAGTTATTGAGCAAGCAGGACGCAGGTAAACAGTTCTGCTCGTTAGTGACTGCACCGCCGTTCACTGGAGACGCGACCGAAGGTGCGAATTGAGAAAATGCAGCCCAAGAACTGTCGATCGAATAAATCCAGGCGGGCTATATATTCTGGATATGCGGAACATGTATTAAATCAATACGGAGAGATTGTTCTGGTGGAAGCCTAATATACACGCAACTTGGTTTTAAGGTCAATTTAGGAGGTTCCAAAGAATTTGAACATGGACCGTGCCCGCCTACTTGGCCCAATGGCCAATTTTGTTCACAAATTGCCCGTTTGACAGAAAGTTCGACCAAAGATATCGGAAGCCTTCAAGTAGTTCAGGATGTGCTGCGCAGCTTCTGGACCCAAAGTCAAGACGACCGTGTAACGATTGGAGTCACTGGTTTTCCAACACCACAGATCGAAATTCTGGGCTGGATAAGTGGATGATACCTTCGTCATCGAACGGGATTAGGTACTACCATTAAATGGACAACTTAGCGTCGCCTTCCCAGATGCACCATGCAGGTCAGGGGAAGAAAACAACCGGGAGAAATGCAATGAACCGGAAGACAAAATTGTCGAATTACAATAACCACGATGGGTGCTCAGGGCGGACGGCTAGCCGCGCAACTGAGTCAAACGATGCAGGCAAAGGGAAGATGGAAGTCCACGCAACACCGGTTTCGAATTTTGGTAAGCACTTCCGTACGTCAAGAATGCCTTGGAAGTTGTAAGCCGCCTTCTCGGGCCACCCGGAATTGGTGTAACACGCAGACCAAGGACAACCATTAGGCGCCATGTGATGAGACCGAAGCTGGGAAGGCAAGGAACGTTTGGAGTTGTTTACCGGATATCGTGCAGTTGTGGCCATAGTTACGATGAAAAAAACTGAAGATAACCGCGAATGCGAATGGCTGAACGCGCCACCAATGTGGAAGAAGGATGCTAACTCTCAAGCTGCAGCTCACACGAGGGGACTCCGCCATATCTTCAGGTTCCACGAAGCTGAGATCCTCGCGCGAGGTGATAAACAAGCTGCTTAAGTCGTGGTCTTTCGGCCCGTGGTTCATCAGCAGCCAGAATGATCTCCCCCATTCCTATTCCGTGCTAAGGCTTTGCCCCTGGACAGAGTAGTCAGCCACGCACGGAGCGACGGGTGATCACGATTTCAAACAGTGGTAATTCTGAGCTCAAGTGCCCAATATCGGATGCGGATGCTGAAGCAATCACACTATGAACGAAGGCCTGTGATTGGTGCGGAGGTTGTCAGTTTTACCGGGCGTGTGGTTGGGTGGCGACTGCATCCCATAAATAATGTAACGTCTGTGGATTCCACTACAGTTACCTACTGATATCTATGAGTTTGAGCTAGGGAGGCAACTCGAAACGTCTGGCGAATAAAACTCTTACTAAGTCGATTGTGTCTTTTTTTATTAGCGGACTCCTGGGACTAGTCTTTCCGTTCATACTGCTCTCTAATTGTGTTCTAGCACCCCTTGCGAGTTACTCCGGTTTATGCCTCAGTTCAATCCAGTTTCCGTCTACTCGACAGGTCTGAGAGTCAATTATCGTCCGTGTTAGTGTGACGAAGAGATTGGCGACAAAAGGTTTGGTGACGGCCGGATCCTTGAGTTGGTCGACACTGATTTTTTTGCACGCAATGTTTTTTAGAAAGCACGTAGACGAGTTTTCCCAAGAGCGTGACCATTGTTAGTCTCACCTGCCTGTGTCGGCGACACGCGTTGTGCAGGTGTCTTGTGCTGAACTAAACCAGGGCGGTAAGCCAAGTATGTGACCAATCGGGTTTCCAGTGCGATCAGCACTAAGTTAGAAGGTGACTGGATGCCTCTTAGGATGCCGGAAGTAAGTGGCTGTAATGATAAGACGGTCCAAAACGTCCAACAGTTCTTTTTCATTTGAGCAGCAGATTCTCCTTTCATGGAGATCCCGGACCCGGCCTTGAAATTCGAATCTCCCACAACAAAAAGTTTACACATGCACAAACGTCTGGTGGCCATTCTGGGTTTGTCATAAAGGCTTACTTTTATTTATTTCTCTAATTCAGCGTCGAAAAACGAACCATATCAACTGTGACACTATCGACAGCACCAAGAAGACGTAAAGTGTAATCCTTGGCGTCACCGGTTACCAGCACACAAATGAAGTTTTGGCCTAGACATTGACGGCGAATGTGATACCACGTCGACTACAAATATCAGTGACACAGTTGTAGTAGAAATGGAAGGAATTCCCAACGCCAAAAAGAACACGACGTAATGCTAAAATAATAACTAAGGCAATTAGTGCAGTTGGCACTTCTCCCGCTCAGCGAAGGCATGGACAAACAGCGAATCTATCTACTCATAACTTTCGGCAAGCCAAACGCCGATAAAGCCAGGTGATTTTCTGCCCTTGTGAGCCAAGACAAGCAAAACATCTACTCAAGTCTTCGAAATTCCCATAAAAAGCGGAATTAGTTGCATGGGCAAATTATGACGAACAAAGAACTATCAGGTGAAATTGGACTGCTGATTTAGAAACTTGCGTTTTTGGCGAGGGAGAGGATAGTAATGCACTGTTGACCGTCTACAATATCACAACCGAAAAAGAGTAGAAAGAGCCTCATTTTGCATTCCTGTCAAAAGTTAAGTAGAAAACAAAAGGACATCTACAATGAGCTTAATAAACCTAGGAATTTTTGAAGTACGCCTTGCCAGTTGGGAGATCAGAGGGCATAATTGATAGGCCTGTGCCTGCGATGTGAAAGTCTAACGACCGGAGAAACGAGAGGAAGTTCTGAGGGACGGGACAAAAAACAGAACCCCTGCGGTGGCATACATTCAGGAAGAATGGATGGGAAGATGGAATAAACACCCCTTCTGGTTTCAATAAATCCTACGCAGTCTAGTCACAGCTTTTCCCCGTAAAGATGATCCGAATTTGTTTATAAGCGCATCAATCGTAGTCTTAAAACAGAAGCAGAAGGCAACCATCCCGGCTATCGGTTACTCTAGTGTTTCGTTGTGATAGTGGGAGCTACAATCAGATAGCAGTCACTTGGTCAAACGGCCTGTCTGACAACTAAACCTCTTGAGTTCTAACGGAATACGTCAGGTGAGAATAGTGGATAAGAATCAAAGCTGGACAGGCACAACATGATTCTATAGAAGTGGTGTTGAGAAAGGAATTGTCTGAATGTATGAAAAGGCTACTTTTGAATAATAGAGAGTAGGGGGGAAGGAAATGATGCCCGGATGGCATCCTCTAGGTCGCTGAACGAGGGATTTCCCGAAGTTAGCATGGAGGCTGCTGTGACTTTCAGAGACCAAAGAAAATCCGTCTTTTGACATAAGAATCCCGGGATGTTCTGTTATGGAATTTATTGAAAGAAAGGCCCTTGGAGCACAGGGATAGCCATGAGTAAATAGCCCTAAACATTTGCTGACTAAACCCTGTCGGCTGAGATAGCTTCCACTGTAAGGAGTGCAAGGATATTTTTTCATCCAAATTACGTCCACCTTACGCCACTCACGATCAACCACCATGGTCCTCTAAAAAGCTCCCTAAACGCCACTTAACATTTTCGAATGGTTTCATCAACCATCCTTCAACAATGGTAGTCTTCCGCAGCGCGACCGAACGAATATGGTCACAAACTCATCGTTGAAAACAACAACATAACACTCGTGTGCAAACCGTAGGTTACATCCAAAACTCTCCTTGCGATTGAACATGTTGCAGGGTGGGAAAACACCACCAAAACGGCTCACATGCTCTTCAAAAGTAGTCCTGGCAAACGACGATGACAGATTTAGCGCAAGTGGAAGAAATATGTTGAAAATATGCTTGGCACCTGCCCGCACACGATGACAAAGAGCAAAAAAAGTTTTGCAAATCTAAATCCTGATTATGCCGGGTGGCTGCCTCCGGAGTTGGCCTGATGAACCATGAGGATCAGCAGGCTGTGAAATTGAGATGTTTTATACCATTACTTTTGGTGGGAAAAGGAAAACCAGGGAGACGGAAATGAAACTCTTAAACAGACTGTAGGATAAAAATATCCATCAGCAAGAAGGAGCAAGGAACACGCTCTTGTAGAGCAGTATTCCAATGTGCGACTGACGACTTTTGCAGCCGACGAAGACTATTTCATTAACCTGACCCGCGACTGAGTAGTATGTTTCTTGTACTGCTACTTTAACGTCCCTCAAAGTGGTAATATTTGTTAGGGGGTTAGTGGAAAAAAATCAACCCTCGGAATCCTTTGGTAGAAATAGCTTTTTCTTCAAAATTAGCGGTTTAAGTCGCGGAAGACTTCGGTTGTTAAATTTCCTATGTACTTCATGCTTCTCCAAAGAGAACCCAATTCTTTACATACGCCTGTTTCCTAAAAGCTGTTCCATAATTTTCATACTGCCATGGAGATACATTTTGCAGTGAATAAAACATTACAATTGATCTCAAACTTTGAAAATGGGTCAAGGGACCTGTTGCTACCAGAGGCTTATATCAGCAAGTTTTGGTCGTGAACTTGTGTTTATTCGTCAAAATTAGAAAAACACATTTAAACATACCCATTCTTCATATGTAGTTTCTAATAAAACTTTAATAAAGCATGCAAAAGCCGCTGAAAACATTACTTCAGTAAGTTCAGTCTAAGTGGTCATTGGGAACGTCTGTAGAAATCTTGAGTATAAAGCCACCATACCCCCGCGTTTGAATCAACGATAAGCCACGTTCCCCACCCACTAGCACTAGCATCGTTCCAAAGCGTGTTTTCTACCCGAAGTATTTGTAAAAATTTCCGTAGGTTTTCAGGTTCCGCAACTTACTTGATTCCACAAGTTTTAACCTATCATGATGGTCCGGTGCCTGAAAATGCATAGTAAGTTGGGCAGTGGTTAAGTTCCTTCCTGCGAACTAACTTGCTGAGTTTCTACTGGTCTTAATGTCATTCCGTTAATTTTAAATGCAGTGTTAATAACTTTGATTGCCACAACTGCCATGAGCATGCAAACCTGATTAAGATCGAATTATTAGATTCAGTGCTCAACAATTCAGTGATAATGGACAAGCAATGCAAGTTTAATTACGCTGCACTCGGTTTATGCCAAAAACACGCAATGTCTGAGAAAAACGATAAAGCTGGACGCCTTCGAACTTGGCACTGATTTTCCATTCTTTTGGACTACACGATCTTCAGTGGAAGCTTTGTTTCTAACTGTAAAAAGGACTGCGCTCAGAGCTTGAAGACATTTAAACTAGAGAACGGTGTCCAGGTTAAGATCGTAGGTCTTCCTGACCAGGACTTATACTATATGGGTGTTTGGCACGGGAAATCAAGCCAAAATAGCCATTATATTTTGAACCCTGAGTGGATCAGAGAGTTAGATTCCAGTGAAATCAGACCAGTATAATTGTGGTTCTAAAGCCTGCGCTTGGCCTAAAGGACAGTATGGAAATGCACCAGAAAACAGTAGTTATATCAGTTTGCATTATTTTATGCCTTAGATTGTGTCTACCAGTTCGCCAGTAATGAATGAAGTTTTTGTGGTTTACGAAAAGTATCCTAATCCATAAGACAATCATGAATAAAGTCCAGTAAATGAGCTATCCGTGGGTGGTGATTGAAAGCACAACTCAAAATCAAACGATGAAAATTTTATGTTACCTTCTTTGAATGACTGAATTCAGACTCGTTGGCAACTATATGTATTGAATAACCCAGGAGAGCTCCATGTGAAACGTGAATGTCCAAAGGCGCCCAACTGAGCCGAATTCCATGGGAGCTAATTGGATAAGAACCACCAAAAACTGAACGATTGGACAGAGATCCATGTGAGTCTGTACTAAATTTTCTGGATGCTCCCGTGAAAGCCATGTCAATTGAAAGCTGTGAATCCCTGGTGTCTGCTTTGATATCCATATGCCCAGATAACCAGTTCGCCGACCGAAGTTGTGGAGCTTGACTTGGTGTAGAGTCCAGACTCATAACTAGCTCAGCTTGCGTTTCGCGACTCCAAATCTTACCGTAGGTGAGATCATTTTTGAAAGCCTTTACCGAGATCTCATAACAAGAGAATGGGTGCAAGTCTCCAATCACAGTTCCAGTGGTGGGATCTTCGCGTGAGACAGAACGGGGTACAAGAACCGTGCGGTCAGGAATGGGTTTTGCACGATTTGAGGTTTCATTCCCAGACGACAAAGAAGTTGGCAAGTGTCCGATACCGCCCAACAAAGCATCTTGATGGATTTTTTCGAGGAAGAATTCGTTACTGAAGCTACAGTAGGTTCTGTCATTTAGGAGCGCACCGACGTAACTGTTCACTCCACCAAATATCCAGTGTTGCGCACTGACGCCTCTGTTGGCTTTGATATTCGAGGAAGCCGCTGCTAAACACCGTGACATGAACACTGGTTTAGCTGAAATCAAAAATCCATCGACGAGTTTCAGCGCTCCGCTTGACCCCTTAGTAGTCCAACTAACAAGTACTTCGGAAGAGCTCAAACTCCGGGCAGAAACTCGGGGAAATGCAATCCCATGCATACGGGATACCATGTCTTGAAAGTCTTGTGCGAGACGACCACCGCCAGGCTTATCAATGAGTGCATTCGAAACTTCTGGCGAGTCGGAGTGGGGAAATGCATTCGGAAAGACGACAAACGACGAAACTTGCGTGTAGACAGGACGAGGAAAAATAGAACCTTGGCTCCATCCAAATGCATTAAATGCTCGCACCTCAATCCAATATCCGCTGTCAGGCAGGAGACCCAACAGATTAAATCTCCTTTCGGACGTAGACTCTTTTGCAAGCTCCCAGTAGTCAAACTGATATTTTCGGTTTTCTTCACTGGCACTAGTCATTTGCAGGACGCTTTTTGAAGGGGAAACATAGTTAGCACTTGGTGTTTGAAGCAAAAAGAAGACCTGAAACCGGTCCTGCAAACTCCCATCGTGATGCCATTTCAGAGAAATCCACGAATCTCCAACTGCAGATACTTGCAAATCAAAAGGAGCAGCAGGAAGCAAGTGAAAGTAGACAGTCGGCACGAAGTGCTGAGGATTAACGTCAAACATTAGACGAATATCCCACACTGCGAGGCGTTTGCTCACCAAAGAAGTCACCGAGCACGTGTAGTTGGCAGCATCGCTCTCCATAAGGTGGTGTATTACAAGGGAACCATCAGACTCTACCGAATAACGATTGTTCGGGTGCATGTTCAAAGAAAGATCCTGATCGCCCTTATACCAACGGAGATCATAGGATGCAAACGGAAAGGACTGTGTAGAATTTTCGGTGTTATCTGCGCTGTCAATGGACATATATTTAACAAATCCCGAATCCTCCGGGACGGAGCAAAGAAGCTTGATCATATCTGGAGGCTCTCGACTTGACAGTCTAATGATAGGAGGAGAAACTGCTCCAACTCGGCCTGGGAAAAGACTTGGATTGGGTCTGACATGCAATTTAGTGGTGGTCCTCGTCAATCCGACTGGTGAGGAGGCTCTGCATTCATACGTTCCGGCGTCCGATATGCGTGAAGATTTAATTATAAGTGAGCCGGTCTCACCGGTCGTTATTCTATCAGACGAAGTCGTTATTCCACCGACATAATAATCCGACGTCCCCTTACGAATCCAACGTATCTCTGGGCTTGGTGAGCCCGAAGCAGCACAAGGAAGATGTATAGTAGTGCCCTCAAGAGTAACTACATACCCCGGTGGCGTTGAAGTAAAGCCAGGTGAACTGATGATGTCAATACGGGCAACGGCCTCAACAACACCTCCCTCGCTGCTTGCTTGACAAATGTAGTTTCCCACATCTTCGGGCTGAACATTCACGATCCGAAGTGAGCCGTCTGAGAGAAGCGTGGCACGGTTGGAAGGAATAACTGGGACGGGTGGATCACGCTTCCACATTATCAGAGGTTGAGGCTCCCCAGCAACTCTGCATGCAAGTTCAAGCACTCCGTTCAAGGGAACAAATTGACTGGCTGGGGCAACAACAAAATAAGGTCTTTGCCTAACAGTAAGAGGAGCCTTTTCACTAATTCGCTGAAAAGCCGAAGAAGACGCGACACACCAATATACGCCGGCATCGGCCCAGGTTACCTGCTCAATACGCAAATTACCACTGTCAAGGACTTGTACACGAGCTGAGGTGGTAACTTCCCTGCCATCTTTGAACCATGAGACCGAAGGCTTCGGTGAAGCATTCGGAGGTTGACAGGCAAATAAAATCGTCTCACCAATATTCGCGGTTTTCGGCATAGGTTGCAAGACAAAGTTATCGTCCATAAATGCAATCTTTAGTTGGGCAGGTGTAGATGCGGCCCACCCGACTGAATTACTTGCATTGCAATAGAAAACCCCCACTGTGTTCGTAGACAGTTGAGTGGAAAGTTCACTGGCAATTAGTCCATCAGGAAGAGTTTTCGTTTCGACATGAAATAGTGGGATACTGTCAATTAGCGTGCGATTTTGATACCAAGATATTTTTGTAGATTGTGTACCGCGAATTCTGCACTGCAACGTAACAGGTTGGTTTTCAAGTCCAAACGTTTCTGTAGGACCATGAGTAATCATGGGCTTTTCATCAAAAACTATTGCAATGGTGCAAGTAAGACATGCGGCGAGGAAAAGGCAGAAATGAGACATGTTTGCAGATAATGGGGCACATGAAAATACAGAGAAGCCCAATCGCTAGACAATCAGTAGCGCGAGATCGGAGAGAAGCTTTCAAAGGATCCCTGTGCGGCGGGTTTACCTCGAGAATATACCTTGATAAATTAAAACAACGTTTAGGTTTCTTGAGTTGAAATCAGGATGACAGATTAAACTCCATTCTGGAAGCATCTCCAATCCCAAGCATCAAATATATAGAATAATGGCACGTTTTCATGCAAATCAGTTTGTAGTTTGCCTCATTTTATTCTCTGTCTAGATGGAGGCGGTTAGCTATACAGTAAGTATCCTTTCAGAAAAAGTTGTCATACAGTTATGTACTATGCTTTTAAGGTCAGCCTCAGTAGGTGTCCTCGGAATAACAAGAACGTAAATTTGCATCTGCGCGCAAGCATTGAAGAGTTGAAAATAATGTCTTCCCATTACGCTGGTCAGTTGTAGACATGCGATTTGCAACGGACGTAGAAAAGTCGTGAATGTGCGTCATCAGTTCAGTATAGCTTAATTCGATTTATTGAGTAAAATAGGCGTAAGATTTTGGGTCCCCTATTTGCAACGTAAAATTGGTTGCGATGTACAGATAAATTATCTGGGCTGAAATAATTCAACTTAACCCATAAAAGTATGACAAACTAAGTGGGAGTTTTAGGGGATGAGCTCGACCTCTCATCGCTCTTCGTCATTTCGGAGCATAGATATGTCATGGTTTCTCTTAAAACTTGGTATGGATGCTGACATCACAACATGTGTGGGATGGGCATTCCATGGTTTGACCCCCAGACATAGAAGGAGAATTCCCGCTCGTCCTAACTTGCCTGTTGAGTGCGCAGTCTTAACGAGTAACTTCGGAGGTTGGTAGTGACAGCGAAGTTCAAAAATCCTCGAAGGTGACGTTGCGGCCCAATGCATTTGCAGTGCGGAATACTTGCAAGAGAAACCCCCGCGAAGTTGCTTATAACTCAAAGGGAAGCAGTTCAGTTTTGTTGGGCGGGTTGCATAAGAACATGACCTTTGACCCTAAACATTCTCGTGTCTCTCCTTAGTACGCTTTCATGACTATTTTAATCTTTACCCTCATGCAGTCTCCAGAGTTGTAGGCCGAATTCCAAGTGCGGTCGCGCGAATGTTCCGAATGTCATTAAGAAGGCAGATTTGCCAAAATCCACAAATGAATGCTTGATCGCATACAGTACGGACATTGTGCCCTTTGCCACTCTCAAACAATAAGCGATTGATTTTATGGAGTTCCACGTCAGCACACCGAGGTCCTTTAGGGCCTCGACGTCTTATTAGGCCGTACCGGCCAGAAAGTAGTCTCCTGTTCTGACGGATCTGGTTGTGTTGGCTAGGAGAAGTATGCCACACTAGCCAACGTTGAACCGCAGGAGGCAATGGTTTGACCACCCCTCCAACCGTACAGATACATATGCAGTCTGTCTTCGGCGGCAGGGCCTCGAATCACAACCAATATATTCATCTCATCTAGGCAGACATGGCTGCTTCGCAATCCAAAGCTTTTGCACAATATTCCACGTATATTAGGAACAAGATGGGTCCCAGTACTGAACCCTAGGAACAACAGTCTTGACGACATCAAGATCTGATTTTCGTTGACCGATTAACACAACCGGCTGTCGACCCACAAGTAAGTTTTCGGTCTATTTGAAGAAGTTGTCTCTGATATCTTTACAGAGAATGCATGTCATGTTTATGGTTCTGTAATGTGTCGTTGATGTCCTGCTATCTCCTTTGTGCAGTGGAGTAATATACGCCAGCTTTCAATCGATGGGAAGTGTTCCAGTGTCAAATGACGTTTGAGAGAGCATCGCAAAAGGCATAGATAGCTCATTGGCAAGTTTCTTGAGAAGCTTGGGTGGAATCTTTTCTGGTCCTGGAAACTTCGATTTGCTCAATGCCTTTAGTTCGCTTCGGATACGATATTCTGAATAAAGTATATTATTTATGCCTGGGCCTGCAATTCTTCTGCGACTTGAGGATGGAACCTTGCCTTTTTTGTGTTGACTGATAACAAGAACTGTGAAAAATATGCAGCTTTATCCCTGCTCCCAGCAATCTCACCGCCATTGGTGGTCCTCACTAAGGGAATTTGGTGTCTGTTCCTTGTTCTTCTTCTGGGCTTTACGTTGCTTTTTAGCAGATTATTCTCGAATTCCCGGCGCGTTTTTTAATTATACTTCTCAGTTTGCTTCTTTTTGTCTTGCTGGTGTTAGAACAATCATCTTGCCCACTATCACGGCATTTTCTCCACAGTTTATGCTTACTGTTAGTTTCTTTCTTTAGGTTGCTATTTAGCCACTCAGGCCGTTTGTTCTGTCTTACAATCTCTAGTGGGCAGTGATTGTTGATGAGTTGCAGAAGAACACGTTTGAACAACTCCCAATCATCGTTGGCATTACCCGTAAACATTGCGCTCCAGTCGAGACTGGATAAATTTTCCCTCATCTGATTGAAGTTGCCCCACTACATGTCGCATCTTTTTTGCAAAAGAGTATGCAAATCGGAGAATAACGAATAATCCCACATAAGCACTACATGGTCACCGCGGCCAAGGGGCGGCACCCGAAGATACCCACCATGTGCTGCACAGTAAGGTGAGAGCAGCCACGGTGACCTGCTCGCGAATTATTTTATAGTGAGGGTAGACTTGCGCGGCATCTATCACACTCTCCTCCTCCTCCTCCCCCACCTGGACCCGGCGTCAAGACAGAGTCAAGAAGACCGGAGGCGGGGGAGGGCGCAGGCGGATGACACGGTGGAGCCTGTATCTCTGCGCTCTACTTCGCACCCCCTGGTGCACACAGCAAGGGGCTGGCACGGCCGAAGCCGCCACTAAGCGCGCCGTCACACCTGACTCGGATCCCTCGGAGTAGGAGTGCCATGAAGGACACATTAAGGAGCCATTCCGGTCTGACTCTCAGACCACCAGTCGGCCGCCCCACACAAACACACACTGGGCTGACTGCGAGGTCAATGTTATCCCGTCAGTTGGCAACCTTCCAAGCCACGGCCTTTAGCGCGCTGTGATAACTTCAAGCACGTCATATTGTTTATAGTGAGGAAAGTGCACGGAGTCGTCGACCTTAGTTACCCTTCCCATTCCCAGACTTCAGCCACCGTCCGAACCGGTCAGTTGACGGGTGCGGGAAATGGATGATGTGGCCGAAATATCTAGTGAACTTGGCTGCGCAGACCACATACACGACCTGGCCACCAAACAGGCACCAGAATTTAACACAACTGGGGTTGAGAGGCATACACTTCACATGCGTAAGAGTACCACAGGTCGCGTTAAGAAGCCAGTTCAGCCTGGCTCTCACCTCACCGGTCTGCCACTCTACATCAACACACACACACACACACAACTGGATCGACTGCGTGGAGCGAGTTGGGGTGCTAGTCAGCGGCCTTTCAAGCCACGACGCTTGACGCACCTTGATTGTCTCGGACTTGGATCATGCATGCAGCAGAGGTGTGGAGACGGAGCTGAGACGCACGCTGTCCACTTGCGTGGGTTTATTGGCCCTACCGGTGAATGCACTGGCATGGGACCAATCCCAGATCCTCTCCGGCTGAGGTTGAGATGCAGCTTCCTGGTAACGGCAAAGGCTAGAAAAGTCCCAACCTACCAGGACTTCATTGGTTACACCTGGTTGCAAACATCAGTTAACCTGATCTTCACGTTAGCAGGATGGTCACCCGACGGCGGCACATGCCAACCTGCCGACACTTCGATGTTAGTTTACTCGAGAGTTTATTTTTCCGCTAGTTTGTCCTTAATAGCTTATAGTCTTCTGTATCGCCGTTCCGCGGGAGACCCGACGCAAATGGCTTCTTTGCACGGCCTACTGTTAAGCATCAAGAATCAAAAAGATGCTCCTTGGACGCCAACAGTATGCGATACAGCCGTCAGTTATCGCGACGGCTGGCCGTCCGGACGTTAGGGAAGAAAATAGCTCTAGCATGCTCACCAAGAAAACTTCTTGTTATTTACGAAGTCGTTTGGTACCAGTGACGTTTTCATATGCAAGAATAAAAAATATCAGAGGCTAATTAACAAAAAAGTAGCGGTCCCACGCCCTCATAAGTTAGCCTTACCAAATAGGCCCATCGCCTGCCCACGATCAGCAACACCAAGGTGAACCAAACCAGTTTACTATACTCGGATCAGTGTGCGCCTACTCTATTTGAAGTATAAATCCACCCAAATAGCCAAA